TTTACTTCACAATTTATTCTCATACTGTTCATACTTGCAGATCGACACCAAGTACTCGCCACACACTTGCCTGTTCCTAAGAAAAACCTCATTGCCCGGTTCTGTACTGCTTCAATACATTTGTACTTTTTTGTACCCCAAATAGCAGCACTATAACCCATAACAGGCCAAACAATGGAATCATACAATTTTTTAAATACATTGAAAGGCATACCTCCAAGTTGCTTAAATTTTGCAATAATAAGTCCAAGAGCCCTGCTTGCTGCCTTATCAGTGTTGTTATATTTTTCTGGTCCTTCGGGATCATTGATGCCAGCACTATTGAGTGTTGAGAATTGAGTACTGCTCAGCCGGTGCTAGGGGGCGTGAGGGATGTTGCACTTATTCATTATCCCTCATGTACAGTCTCAATCAAACCGGGTCTGCAATTCTTATGTAATTTGTTTGTGATTAATGCTTCCGAGGGATCACTTTGTTTCCAGATTTTTATACTTCACAACAGCAGGTGTCAAGTGCTGTGTGGCAGCTGTAAAAAGTTGCCCCGTACTACACTTCAGTGTTGTTATATTTTTCTGGTCCTTCGGGATCATTGATGCCAGCACTATTGAGTGTTGAGAATTGAGTACTGCTCAAGCCGGTGCTAGGGGGCGTGAGGGATGTTGCACTTATTCATTATCCCTCATGTACAGACTCAATCAAACCGAGTCTGCAATTCTTATGTAATTTTGTTGTGATTAATGCTTCCGAGGGATCACTTTTTTTTAGCAACAAATTTTGCTGTAAAGTTATAGTCAAGAAACTCATTAAGAGCCAACCCAAGATAGACATAGCTATCAGTGACATTTAAACTATCAGTTCCACACTTGAATGGAAACGATGTTCTTGGTGTCGATAAGCTTCGAAAATGTACAATATTACTTTTCTTTACATTGATTGTCATATGATTTGTATTACACCATATAAATAATATACCTAACATGGCTTGTAAATCCTGCTCATTTTTTGCCAAAAGTACTACATCATCAGCATATAATAAAATTGATAAGAATTTACCCTCTTCAAGTTCTATTCCTAGACCTAGAGACTTTATGTTAACAGCCAGATCATTTATATAGCAGTTAAATAACACAGGGGATAAAATGCATCCTTGAAGTAATCCCAAATTAACATCAAACCACTTTGAAGTGTAACCATTCAGTCTTATACATGAACTTACACAAGAATATAGAGACTTAATAACATTTAACATTTTACAATTCAATCCCATCTTAAATAAATGTTCCCATAATATTGAACGGTCAACTGTGTCATAAGCCTTTTTAAAATCTATAAACGCAGTAAAAGTGCTGAGTTTCTTTTTTAATCTAGTTTCTATAATAGATGTGATACTTGATAAATGGTCCCCAGTACTACGCTTCTTACGAAAGCCATTTTGCTCATCTACCAATTTGGAGTTATCCTCTAACCATGATGATAACCGTTCGTTAATAACTGAGCAATATAGCTTGTACATAGTAGGTGCTAAAGTTATACCCCTATAATTTAACGGATTCAAAGGATCTGTTGTATTAGATTTTGGGATGGGATTAATAATGCCTTTTCCTCAGTCTTTAGGTATTTGACCAGTTTCAAAACATACATTAAACAGTACATGCAAGAATGAAACTGCAGTATCATTTTTAAAAGCTTCATATGGTTTGTTATCAAATATGATAAACAAGATCAACAAGGAAAGGCGGCGTTCAATGAACGCAACCCCCACATGACCCAGCAACAAGAACCAATGGCAAGGAGCCCAGGGGGACCCCAAACAAAAACAGGACAGGGCAAAGACAGAGCACGGACAGGTTAATCATTAAATGATAATTAATTTGTAACTGATTAGGAATTCAAAGAAAATAAAAATAGGCCCACAAAGGGGAAGGGGACAGGAGACCGGGGGGAGGGGGTGGGGAGTAATCAAAGAAATAAAAACTAGAGGCAATGGGGAAGATACTTACCGTAGACGAGAAAACAACAAGGGACACAAGCAAAAGTGTCACCAAAACAGTATGAAACAACATAAGACATACATCTGAGGAACACAGTGGGGCGCCACAAGCTTTACGGAAATCAGCTTTATCTATGGCTTTTTTTACTTCATTTACTGAAATATTATTGTCTAGCTGTGGGATATAAATGTTATGATCTGTCTGAATGTCTCTTTGGCGATAAACACTAGATCCATCAGCAGAGGAACCATTCAAGAGATCTTTAAAACTATCTTTCCAATAAACTAAAACTTTGTCTTGATCTGTAACTAGTACTCCTTTGTCATCAACAAACTCAAATGGAATGTTGTGTGTTTTTGTTTTAGATATACCAACTTTACCAATTGTTTTCCAAAACCTGTTTTGGTCACATTCTACATAGTTAAGTAGTTCTCCCTGCTGTTGGAACCAGTATTTTCTTTTAGTTTTTTGTACCTTCCTATCAAAAAGTTTTCTACAGTTTCTATATACAGTCGGCATCGTACTTGCGTCCACCTTTATTGAGCGACATTTTTATTAAGCAGCCGCATAAAATCCCTCCCGGTGATTTTTACTATATAATTAAGTTAATTCCATTAAACGACGATTTTATATCGCGGCCAGCGGCCACTAAATGTCAGCCCAAATGTACAAAATTCAGTGTTAAAGTATCTATTAAACGGCCCTGACAAACAATCGTCCCTACGGACATTCTCACTTGTGTAATTAGCGAGTAGGTTTGAACAAACAAATATTTGTCATGGTCATTGGTCTTTAAGTATCTATTAAACGGCCGTCAATTAGACCGTCACAAATAATTGTCGTTTAAAAACGAAATTAATAACAATTGCAATCGTTTCAAAATCGGAAAGAAAGAAACAGTTTTCCGATAGTAATATTTATTGTGACATATTTTGTTAGAGCAATAACGTATCACAACACCGCATTGGCACAGTTTTGTCATGTGCTCAGAGTGACCCCCCTTCCAGAAAATCAAATCGAAAATGACGAACGAACGAGCCAAAAAATGACAGACAACTAATAATACCGGATAAATTGAATGAGGAAATCGTGCATGGAATTGAGTCTGAGTAAATAGCAAATGCCATCGTTTGTAGTCAAAATAAAATCGTGAAACGTAGTGGACTAAACATTACAGCCTTTCATTGCTGATGGTGTAGATCTAGGTGCTCATCTGATGCTTTATGAAATACATGTAGTACCCCATTAAATATGACCCTTCGACAAAAAAAAATAATCCAAAAATATATGATGATAATCTAAGATCTCTCAAACTTTAATGTTTTGAAATCGGGGTAGTGTGAAAACTAATTGCTGAAAAAATCAAGAACTTTAAAACTCATTGCATGAAAAATTATCTAGAGGTCTGGGCTGATGATTTGAAAGCATGTTTAGCAGGATGTGTATAGATGTGTATGAACATATTAATAATATATGACAATATGCTTTGTTTCAAGGTCAAAATGACCTGTTAATAGTATTATGAGTGTAGATCACATTTGTACACAAATTCTACTAAAAAAAAAAAAAAACGAACACATGTTGATGACTTTTTTAAACAAAAGGCATAAATGTAATTATGAAACTGTAATACATAATGATTATAAAATATTGTACAGTTTTTGTTATTGTAAAAAGATGTTATTATATCTATGACTTGTAATATAATAAAGTCTCGAATTTTCCAGAATTCTATTGAGAGACCACTTTATCAAGATACCACTTTTTGGCAGTCCCTTGAGTGGTCTCTTAATACAATGTCGACTGTATACAATTCAGCTCTTTCCTTCTACCGTTAGATTTACAACATAGACAGTCTTTTTCTGATTTACAAACATTGTTCCATAACAAACTTAAATCATCATTCCACCATGATTTCCCGACCCTTCTCTTTGTATTCATTTGAGAACTGTTTAAAACAAAACGTTTACAAGACAGTTTATCATGCATATCATTTTTAATAGTATTACAGAGTGTCTCGTATGCATTGTCAATATCACACTGTGTTCGTAGCCCTTGTTCCAACTGTCGGACTGACTCAAATAAGTCCGATACTACTTTTTGATCTTGTAAAAAGTTACCTGGAATATTTTTGAAATCAAACTTAGTTTCATGTATTTCATGATTATTCTTTGAATCAACTCTTGAAAAATTATAAAGAATATTCCACTGCAAAAGAGAATGGTCGGGAACTCCAATTGGTTGTACAAAATTTGCATAATTTACTAAATCTGAAGAACGTACAACTTTAAAATCAGAATACATATACAAATCATCATGACTAACAAGACAATAGTCGACCACTGAACAACCTTGTGGTTTAATGCAAGTAAAGTCATTTCCAACACAATTTCTACCATTTAAGATACAAAAGTTTGCACTAATTAAAAAATCAATTAAAACATCACCATATTCATTACATGTATAGTCAATTATATTTCGACTAGGTATACAGTCAACACCTTCAATAAAGTCATATTCCTCCCCACATCGGCTGTTAAAGTCACCGCATATACAGATAGAACCTTTATTCTGATAGTCATAGATACCACCCAGAAGTTTATCATAAAATATAGACGCATCGATCTGTTTAGACGAGTTTCATATAATACACACTACTTGATAACGTATCTAACCAACAATAGATTGTGTAATGCCATTCAAACTATAATCCAAAATTATCTCGCACATGCGCAGTAAGTGACGCCAAACCGACCCCAATGCTGTTGATGCAAAATTTAATTTCTTTCTACTTTCTATTTCTTATACATAACAAAGGCATGTTTTAAAATATGTTCTAAATTTGTATAAGAATATTAGTCAGTTTTGGCAAAAGTCTTTTCATTCTTCAACTCATGTGTTCAAGTTAGTGATCCATTTTATGAGTTTAAATCTTTCTGCGTAAATTGCTGTTTTCTTCGTATCCAGCGTTCCTTGTTTCATTGTACGTTTACGTTAAATCGATTTCAGGTATCTGGGGAAGCGCGTTCTGCATTTTGTTATATCGGTTCATCCAAACTAACCAGGAGGCCACAAACGTACTGGAAGAAAGAACTTTTATTGGTATTTTAAAAGATTTTCAGTTGAATTTATTCCTTTTTACAAAGATTTATATCTATATTTTTAATTGAAATCGTATTTTGGTTGTATCCTTTATGAGGAGAAAAAAGTAGATCAGTTTCTTTCCAATCTCAACAGAATCAGAAGTAGAAAAATACCTCGAACCAGAAGCGGAGACAACCTCGAGAGGTGATAAGAGAAAAACAAGAATTGAGAGGATAATGGAACACCCTTCTCTAGACAGGTTCACTAATGATATTCAACACAGGGCGGCTGTTGTAAATAACTTCATGCGTGGTCTTCAACTGCAGAAATACCGACCATCTACAAAAATAAGTAAGACATGGTTCTTTTCCTTCATATGATTTTATTTTATTCACGCGATTTTTATATAACATTTTAATAGCCATTTAGAATTAATAGATAAAGCTTTGTTTCCTATTTTAATGTCGAAATCATTCAATTTTTGACTTAGGGGAAGGTGGTATGTTTTGTATAACAGAAAAAGCTTGTAGCTTAATTTACTTGGAATGCCTCTAGTCTTAGTATTTATGTAAAAGCGGTGTCCTAAGATCTTGCAAATGTAACGTGCACGAGCTAGCTGTTATATATATAATTAGTCTCATGGCTACTTTGCCAGTTGATTGGTTTCAAATGATTATAAAATGATTCATTCAAACTTTGGAATCAAGTTTAATTAACTATTGTTTATAACAGTTACGTGCTTTTATATTTGATCTGCTTTACTTGAACTTTATATAAAATTGGGGATGACACTTATTTAGGCTATTTAATATATAGAAAAACCACTTGGATATCGAGTTTTCAATACTTTAGTAATAACAATTACACCTAACGCAATGTTGAATTGATGCACATGATAAGCTTCGTAATTAGTGCAGGCACAAGAATCCAAGTAATTAATCTAAAATATTAATTAATTCTTTCTGTGGTGTTGATACTTCGGCAGCTGGACAGAGACTCACTGTCCGCAGCTTTGAGCTCTACGCTCGTATTTATACCCAATAATGTTGTTATATTTAATAATAATCGGTTACTGAAGTTGAAGAAATGAAGCATTCAAGAGATATTGATAACGGGTCGAATATTGGTACGAATGGCATTGAGTTCGAAGATTTTAAGGACGAATTGTTTTGATATTTTAGAAATGATAAAAATTTGCCCGTTCTACCAAATAATTGCTACGAGTAAGTTGTTAAATCTAATTATTTAATTTTTATGTTTTTATAAGATTAATCTATACATTTAAACTCAAGATAACATATTTGTTTACAATTTAACTTATCGACAATTTAGGTATAAAACCACTACATGTGTAAATATCGTTAAAAAATCTAGGCAAAATAGAACAATCGTTACACAAACAACGATTGGATTTATCACATATTATTATCAGCATTTATCATTTCTCCGCTTATTATTTTAAGTACGGTAAGGTTTTATCATAGGGTATACCTTAGACTTATAAGTTTCGAGGATTTAAATGCATCCATTATCATAATACTAAAGTCGTAAGCTTGCAATACGTTTCCACCTAAAGTTATAAGGAAGGAAACAACATTTATATCTCGCATTATTTGAGCATTAAAATCGCTAATGACTTGATGTGAGGAATTTATGCCCAATATTCATCTTTATCATTTAAAATTTTAGAAAAAAGTGGGTATGTTTGATCAGTTGACATTTTGGACATTGAGTTGACTCGAGAACCTATAATTGGTTGGCAATTAAAATGGTTTCAGATAAGCGATATATTCGGCTCACATCCTAACAATTACTATCTCTATCCAGTGTCTCTTGTCCTTTGTTTATCCTTTTCTAGATAGAAAGTCACATGATAAAATGTTCTGTACATACGCTTTTATATATTGCCAATTCTTATGGCTTTTTGTGTTTTTAGCAAACAATATTAAATAACCAGGCAGCTTGAAAAAGAAAGAGAGAAGAATATAATAAGCATTTTAAAAGATAAAATAGTCACAAATCAATTATATAATGTTCATTCAACACAAAAAATGTAGTTTCCAAACAGATGACAAGGAATAATAGTGTGGTATATCTCACACCCATTCACCTTTAATCAGTTTGTATAGTTTTCAATGTAAACTAAAACTACAAGCTTCCACGAATTCAACTGACTGTTGCTTTAAATCTGAAAGGTATTTGAATCAATCAGTTATCAAATAGCAAGCAAAAATGGTTCAATAAAGTTTATCACATAACATCAAATTGTTAATTTTGAATATTGTATGGCTGCTTAAGTTTGGGCATTACTAACCTAAGTCCGACTTGGACTGTGAACCAAGAAATGATCAAAATTAATCATGTCTGTCTAAGTTGACAGTTCAACTTTACGTTCAAAATGAAAGTTGAAGAATTTACAAGTTGACTTTGTGTTTCGTATTGACCATACATAATTATAATTCAATATGCTTGAACATATAACAAATGATGATCGCCGTAAATTAAATAAATAGTCTTTGCTTATTAACAAAGGGACGTCTGTCTGTATAATGCAAATCAGTTATTAAGAATATATAATTCCTAGCGCGTTTCTAAAATATAACAAAATCAAATGTATAATCAATGCACCTTTTTAGCTGCCAATTAATTTTTTTCTCTGTTTCAAGATTCAAGATTTGTTATGACTAGAAAAAGAGTATTGCAATTTGATAAGACTTGATTAATATACTGACTTGAATAACATATATATGTTACGATTAAGTATAACTGGAATAATATATATGCATTGCAATTTGGTAAGACTGATTAACTATATAGTTTCATTAAGTATGACTGGAATGACTAATATATTGTTATTTAGTGTAATTGAATCAATATTCTGCGAAAAGGTATGACTTGTTTAAAATATAGCAATTAAGCATGGCTAGAATAATGTTTGACTAGATGGATCAAAATGAATTAATGTACTGTATATAATTGTTTAATAGGACCGGATGGAAACCTTTTTGCAGCCATTGAATCAAGTAAGTAATTGAGATACACAATGCATTTGTATTGACAAGTATATAACATGAATATGTGTGTGGTTTTGTCTAAAAAAAATTCTCTTAATATAAAACAACTAGTTATAAATGTTATGAAAGATAAATATATTCCTTCATTTTTAAATATTTTTATACATAATGTATATTTTTGTTTTATTATCATTTTAAGACATTTTCTTTCTTTTCCAATAAATTTTAAATCACTTTGCTGCGAAAAATAGGAAATATGTGAAAATATATCTAGTTTTGTGAAAACCTCTTTAAAGCTGTGTTGAAATGGTTTATTTTTCAGAGTGTAAAGCTGTGTCTGTGAAATATTATATAACATTTTAAAAATAGTACATCCATATTGGGTTTTTATATTCAAATGAACGCAGCAAAGATTAGTTTGCACAAAATGTGTCCCTGTCAGTGTTGGGGCAAGAGGTATACGCGAATATGAAAACATGGACATACTGCTATTTTTTGTTATTGATAATTTACACAAACACAGATTTCACGTACGCCTCCTATAGGTCGAAATTTGGTCATTTCAGGAACTTATGGAATATAATTTGTTATGCGACGCAAACAAATACTATTCTTGATATACACTTCCCTATATAGCTTTATACTTTGTAAGAAAGAGTTTTATTTTTACACCCTTTATGTTTTGTCAATATGTCATAATATTGTGTTATGATAATGTAAATTTTAGCCTTAAATAGCGTTTTGTTAAACAAAGTAATGACTGATCTGTAAAGTGAATTAGTCTGAAACTGAAAGTCTTTAATACAATAAATAAATATGCTGACAACATTTAGTATCAGACATACCTGATCCAATATAATAAACATTTAAATACCAGATTATAAATTGTTCCAAAACAAAATATTATGATTAATCACATAATGTTCATTACTAAATCAGATTTTTTTTTAGAATTCTTTTTCAAAATTTTTAAAAAGAAATATACAAATGATACATTTTTATTGCTTTTATCAATATCTTATATACTCAAAGACCGTTTTAGAACAACCCACTTTTAGATGGTGTGATTCAGCACCTTTTCTTATCATTTCAAGCTGAAGGACTGTTTGAGGAGTTGCATGAAATGAACCCCACAGATACGGAGAAGATGTATGTAGTGGACGCTGGCTTGGCATTCAACTCTCCGTTTCCTCTAATACTACGACCAGAACGTGAGGTTGATCTCATCCTGTCATTTGATTTCAGTGCAAGAAAACGTGACCAAGCAGACCCATTTACAGTTCAGTTTTTTATCACAAGAAATTTTCTTCGATGGTTAAAATACAATTTGAATTCAATTTAGGACTTTTTAGCGATATTTAAAGTATATTAAGCTATATCTGATAAAATATATTTTGTAATAATATACTGTTTTCATAACCTTCTTGCGGTTTCTTGAAAGGAATTTAATTGAACATTGAATATAACATGTTAAAATGTTGCATAACAATATATATTCTATTTCACAGTTTTTGTGTCGTATAGGGGTTACTTTTGTCGGCGTCCCCTAAAGCTTGTCCGCACCATAACTTAGTCACTATAAGTCGGATTGACTTCAAACTAAGTATGCATTTTTTTACAATAACCAGAAGTGCGATGCACAAAAACTGGTACTCAGCACTTCTTTAAGTTATTGCCCTTTTTAATTTTCATACTTTACTTTTGTCCGGGCCATTTCTCCTTAACTATAAAAGCTTTGAAGATGAAACTTCATAGGATGATATGTCTCATCCAGATAAAGTGCATTACACAAACACCGGTACTCCATGGCTTTTGAGTTATTGCCCTTGGTTAATTTTCATACTTTAATTTTGTCCGGGCCATTTCTCTTCAACTATAAAAGCTATGGACTTGATTATTTTCATAGGATGATAGACCTCATGAAGAAGAAGTACAGTGCACAAGAACTGGTTCTCTTCACTTCTTATTTTTTTAGTTATTGCCTTTAAGCAATGTTTATAAATAACCTACATTTAAGAAGAAAATGCTTAAGTGCTTCGTGAAACAAAACAAAAGAAAAAAATAATATTCTACAACTAGTTAGTATGAAATTTAACTTTGTGAATCGTCCTTCATTTCATTATTTTAAATTAAAGACATTGTATTGTATGCTCGTTTTCTATATAAGTATGATAAGACACATACCCGTGATAACGGCCTTAAGTCAAAGAAAATGAAAGGCACTTTATAAGTCGCTACAAATCAATCTTGAAAAAAATGAACTTTTGGCCTTATCTATAAATACGTTGGAATAAAATTTCTAATACGACTTTGTAAATAATTGGAAAATATATTATCAACAGTATGCCTTATAAATTGTGTATGAGCAGTCGGTCATTTAAAACAACCAGTTCCTTGTTATTTTATATGCTTCATTATATCCTATAGGAACTACGACTAGCCGCTGAGTGGGCAAAACTTCATGAGATTCCCTTTCCTGACATCAACACTCCTGAAATTGGTAAAGAAGGATATAAGGAATGTTATGTCTTTGAAAACCCTGATGATCATACTTGTCCGATTGTCATGCATTTCATTCTCATCAACAATGAATTCAGGAAGTTAAAATCACCAGGTGAAATGGGTTTATTTATCACTATTATCTGAACTAATGGCATTCAAGATAATGATGTATGACTGCTGCTATTTCACATGATGAAGTGTTGTCTACTTATTATTAACATAAACATGATCTGAAAACTTATATATGTTGCACAAAGTCAAGCAAGGCCTAGATGCATACTGATAAATAAACAGTTCTATAGAAATGCACGTCGAAACATAAATTTATATAATGCATTATGGTGCTTATTGAATTAGAACATGTATGTGCCTGAAATGATAAAAATGAACGTTTGAGAGTGTTTTCATCAGAAAATAAACACTTGACGTAAGAAGTTGCGATGATTTTAACAGAAAAAAATACAAAAACACGTTGCATGGTGCTTGTAAACATGTGATATCATCAGGTATTATCGATTAAAATTCTTACATTGTAAATTTAGTAGTCTACTGCTAAGGTTTTTGGACACACTTCCCTTTTCACAGTTTGTCATTAATATAATATACCTAATGAATTTAGTCCGTGAGTTTTTAATGTTTTATTTTTGCATTGGTTTTCATACTCACAGCCTATACAATCTATTCTCCATAAAATATTAAATACACATGCATTGAAAAAAATGACTTGTTTTTTATCCGATTTCTAGGCTTTCTCAGAGAAACGAAGGAAGAGATAGATTTCGGTGACTTTGATGTTTTTGACGATCCGGATGAACCTTATTCAACATCTAAATTTAAATACTCAGCACAAGCTTTCGACCGACTTGCCAGCCTTATGGAATTCAACACACTACTCTATAAGGATACGATTTTCGAAAACATAAAAAAAAGTGTAGTAAACCGTAAAAAAAGAGAGCTTTCGAAGTTATGAATTGATGTTTCAGGTGCAGGTGACAAAAATGAGTGACCGATTATATAAACTCCTGTGAAAATGTCTGACATATTTTGTCCTAGAATTAATATTTTCTTAATTTTTCTAAATGTTTTGATAGATATGGAACGGCTTAAAGTAGGAAGGTTTTAATTTCAGGAATAATTTGTATTCTAGTAAACTATAAATAGATATAACTTTAAGAAAAAATTAAAGTATGCAAATGTGTTAGTATGCGTTTGCCTGTGGATGCTGTAAAAATGCAACTATGTAGTGTACTGCGTGTATTAAAGGATTTTGACGAAACATTTTGTCCCGCCTTTAAGGTTGCTGTTCCGTAGGCAAACAAAAGATTAGTTCCTCGAAAACTAAACATATATTTTCGAAAACAAAGACCTGCAACAGGTTTTGCCAATATCAGATTACTGCATGACAACGCGTCATCGCACTAAATGTCTACAGTGCAATATTGGTAAATCTGTTATAATGAATAGACTATAAGAATGCATTCAAAGATTGGATCCGAAGACTTTTCATATATGTTGGAGGTGTATATTTTGAGAGAACAAAATGAAAAATTAAATGAAAACTATGATGAATCTTAGATGCATTCAACTTGGAACACTTCTAACAAAAATCCACGTAGGTGTGAGGCATCTAAGCACGCAACTAAAACCCTATTAAATTAGGAAAATCCCACAAAAAGATATAAAAACTTCAATCGGCACAAAACTCGAACAATTCCAATCCACAGTTTATTTCAATATAAACCTTCATTTTCTAATACAAACATAGGTTAACAATATATGAATGTTTATATATCTATACGAATCTTTGTATATCTCTACAAGTAGCTGAGTGTATTGCTATGTATAATTGTATATATCTAGAAAGTAGCTGTGTGTATTACTTTATTATAATGTATGTTTGTATTTCTCTAGATAGTAGTTGATTGTAAAACTATGTGTGTTTGTATATCCCTTAAAATATTACTACAAGTATATCTCTAGAAGTAATTGATAATTATCAACATGTGACTGTATATCTTATACAATTGTCAGAAATAAATCCTATTTTGTCTAGAATGGCGAAGAAATATTCATTTAAGTCCAATAATTTTTACAGCAAATGGATATCATAATAATTATTTTAGTACAAAGATAGCCAAAATTTTGATCAAAATGTTGCGGTTTTATCATTTTAACAATAAAATAAATGAATATCTTACATAGACCAATTACCTTTAATCATAATAAATTTAAAAAAAAATCAAATTTTATTTCAAAGATAAACTCTTCAAGTTCTAGCCAGACAATTTTTCTTTCATTTTGTGGCATTTTGTTCGTCTTTTCTTCTTGATATACGTAATAAGATGCTCAGAAGTAAGTGTAAAATCAGGATTTATTTGTTGGAGTTATTTGATAAACATCAATTTGTATATTGCTAAAAAATGTCAGAAATTAATCCAAATGTGCCAAGAGTTACGAAGAAAAAATTATATTATTCCACTTATTTTTACAGTAAATTAATGAAACACCGTTAGTAGTCTTACAATAAATAAACAATATATTAACTTCACAAATTGTTTTTCTTTATCCCTACAAGATTTAAGACATTGTCAATGATCACTGCAGGTCGAATTTGGATTGTTTGTTTGATAGGGTTTTACATCACATCGACACAGTATAGGGCATATTGCGACGTTCCAGCTTTAATGGCGGAGGAAGATGGCGTTGCCTTTCCGTGCATTATATCAGGCACGAACGGGATACTGAGTAGAACCACCAACGTTCTATCTAGATAGCTTCCTCACATGAAAGAATCCAAATTTCATTTTGGATTCGAACTCACGGTGGTGAGGGGCAAGTGGTTTGAAGTCAACGACCACTCGGTCTAGGACACCCCTTGCACCTCAAATAGTGATCGTGTTTGGAAAATAGAGTTTTGAAGAATAAATCTATTACTGTATTAAATTTACTCAAAATATCAGAATAGGGCATTTTTTACAAAATAATTTAAGAATAGATCTAAGGAAAAAACAACAATAAAGTAATTCTTTTAGCAATCACTCTAAAGAAAGACAGCTTCATGAAAAAAGAACAAAACAGCAAGTATTGCAAACCTAAATTAATTGTGAAATATTTGCTCTTGAAGTCTTTGTTATAACATTCACAAGCTATGATGATAAAGTGGCAAAACCTTGCAGCATTCACCTTCACTGAACGTACGGCACACCACAAGCTTCCTAGTCACGATATCTTTTTTTTTTGGCGTGAATGTCAAGATATTATCAACATGTACACTACAAAATATGCGCTTTACCAAAAGTTCATACTCGTTGACTTTAGATAGAAAGACAAATGTGTTACACAAAAATTTTACCCTTTGTATTTATCTGCATTTGGCAAAAGTTGTCAGCAATGACAGTAATAATCCAGTTCCCCGCACACCTACAGGAGAAATAAAAATTCACTGGATACGTTTCTGTTATCCACTCTTTCTTTTTTTCAAAAAGCCCAATACCAAATTTTTTTGCAAATAGATTGAACCTAAAATACAAGCAATTAAAGTTTAAATGTAGTTAATATGAGATGTAGTTGATATGTGAGACGTTTAAAGCGGAAATAAAACGGGCGACAGACCAATAAGCTGGCATACACACGGACACTACAAACATTTCTTTCCCAATTTCCATGTCTCTCAAATTGAAAGACAATTTCAATTGTTGCAGCCATGTTTATAAATAACACAAGCAATGTTTCACATGACTTTATACTAAAGCAGATCAAAGATTCTTAAAATCTTCTTTTCAATACCAAAGAATTATACTGAACCGTTACAGCTGAAGTATCCTAAGCTCTTTTCTTTGTTCGAAGAATTGAATGTCCCCAGAGTTTGCGGAAAAAAATATGAAAGATAAAGGGACACTAACAGGATATGTGAAAAAGACAAAAAAAAAGAATGTCTAAAAGATTAAATAGCTAATTAAAGGAAGAGCATTAAGAGAAAGCTAAGGAGAAAGAACTTATTAAACAATTTTTAAAGGGTGAATAATTAGTCCCAGCTCAAAAAATTTATGAACATTTTACACCTATACCATAGACACCGGAAACGGAAACAAAATGTTTCATACGAAATGAGACACGTGATTTTGCTGAAATTTTTCTTGAAATGAGTTCTGCAAATAAACAACTGACTGAGAGTTTATCTGGCCAGATCTGTTTGCGAAATAGGTATAGAAGGTAGGCACATTGAAGTTTCAAGGAATGAATTGCTTAACCATATAGAGGAAGTAAAAAATCTTGAAGGAAGATTGGATATAACAAAATGGGAAAATGACAAACTAACAAGGACAACAGGGCCAATAAGTATTGAAATTGTCGATAGCAGCATTAAACATCCCTATATATGTACAATGTTTATTACTTAATTATACTGCAAATAGACTCGAAGAAAATGCTTTAGTATATCAAAAATATTTATGAGAAACGGTTTCTGTACATAAAGAAAACAACAAGAAAATATCGGTTTATTTTAGAGGGAAAAAAACATACTTTAAAAAAGGTCGATATTTAAATGCATTAACGGGTAGTTTTGGTTTTAAAATTAAAATTTTTTTCCATTCTTTTTGAATATAGAAAAAAATGCCTTTTGATATTTAAAAATTTTCCCAAAAAACGCATTAATACTCTTTAAACGTCAATCAATTTTACAAACAAACCGCTCCAAATATGTGTTTACTCTCTATATCATTTAAGTCACCCTTTTTTAGAAGAAGTACTTTTAATATTGATCATAGATAATTTTCTTCAGCGTCCTAGTATATTCGTTTCCACAAATAGTTCCCTATCGAATGAAATGATCTTGCTATATAAAACAGTTATTGACAGTCTTAAGTATATCAGTTAATCATTTTTGTGTCTTCGGACGTTTAGGCAGATAGGGATCAATAATTGCACAACTATTATTAGTGTTAAACGTTATTTTGTATTATGTATTCAACACTAGTGTCATATGTCGTAACCTAACACCCTGAAATTTATAAACAAAGGCTGTAGTAATGATTTTGGAAATCAAATACAGTTGTGTTTTTTTCAAACAATTAATCGCATATAATCAGTGAATCAGTTAACTTTTATAATAGTTATAGTGATTTACATTTAAGAACAATTGCCTGCGACAATGAGAGTTAATACATGTAGAGTGCTTGTGCGAAAATGGAATATTGGAATTTTCATTAAATTTACATTAACATACATATGTTTTATTGTTTTATGGAATATGCTTGGAAAGGTATCTCAATGGTGTACACTTTTCTTTTGTGTGTTTTTATTATTATTATTATTATTATTATTATTATTATTAGTCATCATCATCATCATCATTATTATTATTATTATTATTATTATTATTATTATTATTATTATTATTATTATTATTATATGTTTGGGTCGTCAGGCCGAGGGGTTCGCATGCTCGCTTATGAAACGAGAGGTCTGGAGTTCAAAACCCAGTTGAGGCAACTCATGTTTTTATATATTTTTTTTAAGTCAAATAAACATTGAATTGACTATCAGTGTTGCAATTAGTCTTATAGCCAATTTACTACAGTTAAAACACTGGTGGCACTATACAAAAACAAATTGGTTTATAATCTCACAACCTTCACCTTTCTGACATTCTGAGACCCAAACAAATTCAGCGCCTTCTGTGCTTTGATTATTATTTTTTTTTTTTAGCTCACCTGTCCCAAAATGACAGGGTGAGCTTTTGTGATCACTTTTCGTCCGGCGTCTGTCCGTCGTCCGTCCGTCCGTCGTCCGTAAACTTTTACTTTAAATGACATCTTCTCATAAACCACTTAGCCAATTTCAACCAAACTTCACAGGAATGTTCCAATGGTGGTCACCTTTGAAAAGTGTTCAAAGAATTTAATTCCATGCAGAACTCTGGTTGCCATGGCAACCAAAAGAAAAAACTTTAAATATCTTCTTCTAAAAAACCAAAAAAGCTAGAGTTTAGATATTTGGCATGAAACATCTTCTAGTGAGTGTCTACCAAGTTTGTTCAAATAAAAGCCCTGGGTCAAAATTGGCCCCGCCCCAGGGGGTCATTGATTTTCCCTATATGCATATAGTAAAAACTTAAAAAATCTTTTTTTAAAGAACCCAAAGATCTAAAGCTAAGATATTTAGCATGAAACATCCTCTAATGGGTGTCTACCAAGTTTGTTCAAATAAAAGCCCTGGGGTCAAAATTGGCCCCGCCCCAGGGGGTCATTGATTTTCCCTATATGTATATAGTAAAAACTTATAAAATCTTCTTTTAAAGAACCCAAAGAGCTAGAGCTAAGATATTTAGCATGAAACATCCTCTAATGGGTGTCTACCATGTTTGTTCAAATAAAAGCCCTGGGGTCAAAATTGGCCCCGCCCCAGGGGGTCATTGATTTTCCCTATATGTATATAGTAAAAATTTATAAAATCTTCTTTTAAAGAACCCAAAGAGCTAGAGCTAAGAAATTTAGCATGAAACATCCTCTAATGGATGTCTACCAAGTTTGTTCAAATAAAAGCCCTGGGGTCAAAACTGGCCCTGCCCCAGGTGTGTCATTGTTTTTAACTATATGTGTAAAGAAAAAACTTGACCAGCTAGACCTTAGATGTTTAGCATGAAACATCTTCTAATGGGTGTCTTCCAAGTTTGTTCAAATAAAAGCCCTGGGATTTAAACTGGCCCCGCTCCGGGGGCCTATATACAGGTGAGCGACTTCAGGGCCATCATGGCCCTCTTGTTTAAAAGTTACCGTGGAAAGTTAAAATCTAAAACAATATCCGTCCTATCTGTCAGATGGAAATCTTGTTTTTATTGTAATTCAAACCGAATAGCATAGGGTTTTTATCTGAATCCAACAGGCACGCTAGCTAGCTAGTCAAACGGTTCAATGTCGGAAGTTGAAATTAGATACTGTTATCTTTTAAGCGAAGGTAAATAATATTATTTTTAACAAAACAGATAGATTTTCGTTTCATCTATTGAAATAGATAATGTGCTTATCCTTGATTATTACTACGTATGGTCCAATATTTAATTTCAGGGAATATTTAAGGTATGCCTCGACCAAAGTTATTATCCATCACAAAACAAAATAAGAGAATGTCAAACGGACACAACATTCGGTTACTCGGATATTCAAGGGTAAATATATCTGCATTTGTACGTTTATTATTTTGAATACACGTTAATATCGCTAATAATTTTATAAATTTAGAAATAAATATAGCTCTGCTCTCTGAAAGAAATAAACAACTTGATGCAATTCTCTTGATTGCTTTATTTGACTGTTAATTAATGTAAAATTTTAAATAATTAATATAGAATTGTCATGTTATAAATAAAAATACGTATATATATGTTATGTTATTATGAAAATTGCAACAATTTTAAAGACAACATATTTTACTCATGTGTGTAAACAAAACATGTTTTTTTCTGAATTGCTCAAACTTAGGTTTGAATACCTGATTCAATTTGACTGATTTTAGGGTTTCAGGACCAGTTGACCTCGTTCTTACCTGGGTGAATGGTTCAGACCCTGCATTTATCGATGAAATGATCAGATTTGACTTACGGTAAGCAAAGCATTATCGTCACCAGCGTCCTCTTACCATTATCATATCCATCATGATTTTCGTCATCGTCATCATAATTATCGTTATCATCATTTTAACCGTCGTTATCATCATCAATTATCCTCGTCGTCGTCGTCTTTGCACCATCAAGAGCATCAAGGTTAACAACCGCATTTACTTTTACAAATGGAATTGTACATGTATACATATTGGATTATTATTCCCTTATGACAGAACTTCACGGGAACTGCTTGAAACAATTAACATCGTATATCAATGAATATTACACTAGAAAAAAACTTTGTAAGATTTTGGCTGTAAAGTTAAGGGCACTAAGTTACAAATTTTGATAAGGCAATTTATTCTTGTTGTATATATACTTTGAATATCTTTATAAATACAATTTACAGAAATAAGAGCTTTATGCCAAAAAGATACCGTGACTGGGGAACCTTGCGATACGCCTTACGATCAGTGGAGAGAAACGCGGACTGGTTTCGTAATGTGTATATAGTGACCAATGGTCAAATCCCGAGATGGCTGAATCTAAAATATCATAGAGTTAAGCTTGTGACGCATACGGTATGATTGTTCTATATTCTCTTTTAATTTAACTTTTTGGTGTAATAATTACCTTTTTATGTTTTTTTTTGTTGTTGTTTTTTTTTTGTTGTTTGTTGTTGTTTTTGCCAATTTCAATCCATTTTACTCATATTTCGACAGTCGGCCCAACTAACATGCTATTCAGTAATTACCATTCTCTCCGCAAGCGTACGACTTCTAATGCCACATACTTTCTAAAAGCGGTGAGTGACAAATGACGATTAGGCTAGTGTCCGAAATCAAATGTTACGGAGAAGTTTAAAAAATGAGTCTAGCGGATGGACACAACGGTTACATGATTAACTAAATTAATTAATATTATTTGTAGCATTTTCAAGTAATGTAAATATTAATTATTCTCTACCTTATGCTGAAGTTTTCTTTCTTCTCCGCATGTTCCATATGCATTTTAACGATAATTTAAAACCGTGCCTTTTCTCAACCTAAGTATAATAAACGAATTGTTAAATAATTAAATACAGGGTTTTAACAATAACACAATTACATTGCTAAATGCTCATACAATTTTATAGGCTATAACAATGATTAAATCTTAATAATGCTTATTTTCTAAATGTATGCACATAAAAGGAGGAACGTGATATGTTGAATTCGCGCTATTCAATATTATAATTAAATATATTCTACATGCATTTCAGGAAATATTCAAGAATAAAAGTCATTTACCCACCTTCAATTCTCTGGCAATAGAAAGTCACATTCATCGGATTCCAGGGTTGTCCAAACATTTCATTTACATGAATGATGACTTTTTATTTCTAAATAAAGTGGAGCTGAAAGATTTTTATACAAAAGAGACTGGATTCAAGGTAAGGCAACTCTTTTCTACAGTTTAAATTGCATGAAAAGTTTACCTATTTAAGACATCATTTTTATAGGTTTCGTTTATATGTAATCTCATTCACATAAACGAATTTGTCAACAGAACAGGCGTTACTTACTTTGACAAAAGTTTGCCTTAACATAAACTATGATTGCAAATGTGAAACAAAAGAAATATGTCACTAATCATTTCAATACTTTACAAAATGCAATCATAATATAAAACTTTACATTAATGCACACATTATGCATTATACAATTTATCATTTATTCTTGTTCATTTAGTGTTGAACATTGAATACCGTTTAAGCTGGTGCTATTGTTGTGAGTGATGTTGCACCTTTTCATTACATCATCTCTTATTATCATATCCAAACATACCGTGTCTGCGAGTTTCTTATAATTGTGTTTTTTTTTATAAATCTACCTAGTTTCAAGATTGGAAGAATGAAATACAAAGTTTAACGAGTTACTAGTAACTATCAAAAGCTAAAACAACAACAACAACAACAACAAAAACAAAAGAAAACGATTCTTTCGGACTGTTTTTACTTTTTGTATTTGTTTCTATTGCTTATAAAGTTTCTTTTGTTACATGACCATTTCAAGAATCCCATTCCTGTTATCATGTTTTTTTCAACACTTGGTCTTCTAAATAAAACATAAAATGAAAAAGCAAGGTCTTTGCATGTAATTTCTTTAAAGATTTATGTTAGGTTTACTTTACAATAAGAAAGGATATAGCTTGTCATTGTTACTAATCGATTGACCATGACAACTGGTATTTGAATCATTTAACCTTTTATTATTTCAAACAGATCCGCTTTACTGATATGAAACTAGGATATTGCAATAAAACATGCAAAATATTAAATATTAATAATGGGATATGTGAAGCAGAATGCAACACAAAACAATGTGACTGGGATGGTGGCGACTGTCAGACAACTCGCAGAGCAAACGAAAAACCTTACAACAATTTGTTGCGATCCATGCCGCCTTTTGCAGCTTCTGTTATCTACACAGCAACTGTTTACAACAAAGCGTTTGGGTCTGTTGATCGACAAGTTCCAGCGCATGTACCTTACATAATAGACAGATCTCTAATGAATGAGCTACAAGAAAGGTTTAATATGATGTATCTCATTGTTGTTTAGTTACATGTTTACACAGATAGAATACTGTTATAAATGATTCTTAAAAATTCCAACGAACATTCCTTTGTATTTTATTTTAGGATGGCCGATTACATTCCCAGATTTCAGTTTGTTGTTTTAAAATGACCAATAGGGCAGTTATTCTCTGTTAATTTTTCAGGAAGTCGAACTGATTATAGACGACCGGATTATCTACCATTTGTTTATTTGTCCATTTAAAGAACATCTCATTTAATCACGCCTACGCAAAAATCGACCTGCAGTCATATTGTTTTTCTTGTCCATGATCGATCAGCGGGTATATTATTTGCCCTGACCTCATACGACGTGCATACTTTTGTCTTGTTCTCGATCGGGGGACAAAGTGTTTTAATTATATCCTCTTTGTAAATATTATGGTTGTTTTTGTATGACACAAATTACTCTATCTGTGATACTTTTTTTTATTAATCAGGTTTCCGGAAGAGTGGGACAAAACTTCAGCGTCTAAAGTTCGTGATGAACGTAATTTGATGTATGCTTTCGCATACTACCATTATCTTTTGAGACCTCAGGGGCAAAAGCCTGGACATAAAGTTCTTTTTCCAATGTAAGTATGCATTTAAATGTTCCTGACATTGAGGTCATTGTGACATTGACCTTCATGCATCATACAACAAATGGGGTCTACATCGGGTGATCATCGTATAAAATTTGAACGTTGTGGGTCAAATGACTCTCCATTTAGTTATAGAGCTGAAACGATTTTCACATTCAATGCCAATTTGGCTTTGACCTTTTACGCATTGACGCCTTAAACAATATGGGTCTCCAACTAAATCACCTTATGGAGTTTGAAGGTTGTAGGCAAATGAACCTCTTATTGAGCAGAAACAGTTTTCTTATTTATTTATATTCAATGTGACATTGACCTTCACGCATCAGGCCTTACAACAATAAGGATCGGGTGATTATCCAATGAAGTTTCAAGACTGTGTGTCAAATGGTTCACTAGTTATTGAGCGGAAACGAAATAGTCCACTCATTGCCCGACCGACCGGTCGGCATTTGCAAATTTATATACCTTCATTTTTCGAAAGGTAGCATCATGCAAACGTTTAAATATGTTTTCTTTTTTCAAAACCGGTAATATAAGATTCTATGTATACCATTTGATAAATTTATACCGTACATTCGTCATTCTCTGTTTTAAACAGTCACTTTATTTACTAACAGTGCGACGTTATTGGCGAATTTTGAAGATAGTGCCTACCTCGCGACGGGCAATGCAACGATGTTGGAACAACAACTCAACATTGTTTTACGAAGTAAACGAAAGTGAGTTATTGTTGATTATTGTATTTCGCACTGTGAAAACAACTTTCATGGAACGCAATCCTAGTTAATCTTAATATAAAAGGACCCAGAGGGGCACCGACTATAAATTGGGCACAAGTAAGGAGACAAATAAATGGCCGTAAAATCTATTTAATGATAAACTAGTGCATTAATTAATCAGAAAAGAAAGTATGATATAATGGAATAGACTTCGCTTGTAATAAGCCTGAAATTTCCAGTTAGAAGTTGGAACTTTCAATCCACTTGGCGAAAATATAGACCACTGTATTTTAAACATTCATTGTTCTTTTGAAACTGTTCAGTGATTGTATATCATTTTTATCGCAATGCGTGATTATATTTCAAACATTATTTTTGCTCCAATTATATTGATATATAAATCTTTTTTACAGGAAGTTTGTATGTATAAATGACCATTTGGACCTTAACATCGAAGAACAGATTCGAACACAAAGAGTTATAGATTCATTCTTCAAAGCTTTATTTCCAAAGCCGTCATTATACGAGCTGCATTGATCATGGACATAACCTATAACAATTTTGACACCATAATAAGTCAGGAACCAATAGGAAAAAATTGTTAAGCTAGTATCGTGATTTGGATGAACAGTGTCTTATATATGTATAACTATGCCATCTGTATTTATCTACTGTTAAATAAATGAACTGAAATAAATTTCATTGCGATTCTTGATATGATAGGATTGATATCTGGTGAACAAATAGTTAATGATACTATCAAATAATATTTGATTGGATTTGGTCCTGTCGCAGACCTTCGGCGTCGCCTGTATCCCTATCTGTGCACGTAGCGCCGCTTAATTACAACGCCGTTTTCATTTTCATACATCGGTTACCCCATGACTCGTCTCGGCGTCTATTTGATCTATAAATATTTGCTCTGCATATCCGGTGACTTATTGTGTTGTCAAATTTTATTGGCTTGGGTTCCGAATGTCTTCAACCAATCAGGGTTTGCGTTCCATCTATAGTTTGAAGATACATTTAAACTTAAGCGATATCTTTATGGAAAGTGAGTGTTGTTCTTCTTCAACAACAAAAAATGATTCGGAGATCTTATTACAGAAAAGTAATACTAGACAATAAATAAAAGGAAAACTCTATATATGGTCTGGATTGAAAATTAGCAATTACGAACCGATTGTAAAGAATACCTTACTCGTGATCTGGATTTCATGATTGTGTTTACAATACTAGTCTAACTTTAACTATAATATTGATTTACTGTAAAATAAATGGAATGAAATGAAGTTTTGTTCTTGATTCTTGATACAATAACATTGATTTTTGACAACATTTAATGGAGATAGAATTGAGCATAAAGTAATAATATCTAATTTTTATATTTAAATAAAAAACAAAATATATATTGATTAGAATCTACACTTGAAAGATTTAATTATACATCCAAAAAGTTATATTTTCAAGAAGACTCCGTACATTTTCAAACCAGTTTGTGTATTCTTGCTTATAACAGACATACATTAATTACCAATTGAATGAATTTGAATGAATTTGAAATTATATTAATTAATTAATTAATTAATTAATTATCTTTAACAAAATTTTTATAACTCTAATATACCTGTTTATATATACGAGCGGATATCCTTTACAAACACTACAATAAGTAGATATTTTAACGCCTAGAAAGTTTTACCAACTTTCGTATGAATATTTTCATAATTAATACAAAGCATGTTATTACGAGGCTTAAAGAAGTCCGATAATCGAGGCATCAGTGTTATTGCATACAACGTATCTTCTGTCGTAAACACAACATACGTCATTGACATTGGTTTATACTAACATGTGTACATTTTCTCAAACGTACCAATGCAAAGAGGAAACTAGTAAAATCTTTAATTTGTATACGTTTACAATTATCTTCCTAACTTTCTCCGCCTTTATGAATATATTATTCAATACAGTAATTTCCGATGTCTTCTGGTCAGATGCTAGCAAATGGGGTATGGGGTATCCATTTAGCAGTTTTCAGCATAAGTATCAAGTGATTCTTCAGACTCGTATGAGTCCCTACGATATGGGCTATACGGTTCTGGCATCGTTGTCCATGATAACTTTATGACTGTTTTATTGGTGACTATGAAACGTGTTCTACAAGACAGCATTTTCTACCAGACCACTTTATGATTTTTTTTGTCGGTACTTATGAACATATGCCTTTTTTGTGTCATCCTTGGTATTGAATAGTTGGCATCAACACATGCACTTTCATGTTTACATGTATCTTTTGATGTTGACATTAATTTGTAGTTGTTTTATGACATGTATTTTTACCAGAATAAAACTATCTATCTATAACTTAAATACACTTTTTGCAAATTGACCTTGTCTTAAACTTGTTCCTTTAAGTATATTTAATAATTGCAAAACTTTAATCTTTTGGTCTGGCTTATTTTGATTTCAACTTTTCAAAGAAAACAGACAAATTAAAATCACTGTTTGCCCTTCGAATGTGCAGGGTGATATCAATCTAGCTATGCTATTATTCATCGCATTTTAAGTTAAATCTTTTTTTAGACAATTTAGAATTTTTGACATAATTGCCTATTATATAGAATTAATTCAAATTTATAAAGGTATCAACATGAAAATTGTTATACTTGTTAAAGTATTAGTAATAAAGTTATATGACCCTAATTAAATGGTGGTTTGCTTATATAACCTAGTCACAATGTGAGAGTTATATTGCAAACAACCATTTTTATATGGCCATATAACCTGTCAGGAATCTTTGTAACAAATTCATAATACAACAGTGCTAAAGATGCAAAAAATAGTTCATGTATGTAGCAAATTAGAATATGTTTTTGGAAACTGTAACAAGATACCAAAAACTAACAGTTATTGAAAAAAAATGAAAGCATTTCTGCGGCAAAGCAGGCCTTTAAAATATTATACTCAATGATGAGCATAGTATCTTTAATGTATTTTATGGCTTTTTTAAAAACAGTAAAGTTCTAAATTTGTTTGTATATTTTTATATATACATATATCTTCCTATATACATGTATATCACTATAGTTTTTATTATCAAGACAAAAAGTTCAATACCTTCAAATTGTAAATTGAACAACTTTACATCAAATTTGTTATTGAAATATTACTGTAATAATATATGTGTATACATTATACACTATTCAAATAATATACATTTTGTATATGTTGGTATGATTTTATGAGTGTGTAGAAACCACATTACATTTAATTAATGATTCAGTGTAATACCTTACAATAGTCGGAAATGGGAGTTTGAGCTGACATGACCGTTTTACAGTTCGATATTCGGCTTCACGCCGGCAAAACAAATACCAGATTAATACCGAGGGACACACTGATACCCGAGAAAACATCAAATACGGCACACTTTTAATTTATCGTCTTCTTTTTTCTTTTTCAGTAGTAGTCGTATTTCCGGTTATTCTGGCTGGCCAGACATTGTAGTTATAACTTATATACATCATGAAATAAACTGATGATCTTTTGCACATGTTTTACTGTTTCATCTCTGGTTAGACTAGGTAAAAATTGTTTCGGCTACTCTAGTTGTCTGGCTAACTTTACGAACATCGTCAAAATAGATTAAATTCAGTTCTAATCATCAATTTGTATTCTCTCAAGCTACAGACACCATAACAAATTCAGAAAGGCTTCATCAAGTTATGAAGCCGAATCAGGGAAAAATAAAGGCATTATCGTGCAAATTCATATAGAAATATTAATGATCACTATTATGGAAAAGATGCGAGAGATATGAGCCTTGTCATATATGACGTTGGTGATGATCAAACATTAAGTTAATGATCCCAAACAATACAAAGATAGAATAAAAACTTTAAACAAAATTTTAGACCAAAGGTGGAAGAACTCTTGAAAGACAATTTAACACAAAAAGTCATACATGAGTGTTCAGGCGGTTGTTTTTTCCCTGCCGTCAACACAAAGTTACTAATCGTTTCTGTCATCAAGTCACATCTCCAGCTCCTTATATGAAACAAATAAGGTTCACTTAATATATAGGCTATGATGATAAAAGAGAATAAATCTTTATTTCTTCAAGACATTGGAGGCTAATCAGCAAGTTTTGACAAAGGTTAATAATGGTAATCTTGAAGTAATTAAAAAAAACTGTATCATTTCGGACCTATTCACTTTTAATATTCTCATTAATCATTTTCTTGATCTGAACTACATGTAATACCTAATAGATTAAAGTGGAAATATTTTCTAACAATACACCATATCCATCTCTCCCAACAATGAAACAACTTCCAGTCTAACAAATCTGCCGGTACAGAGGTGTAGGAAGCTGCTCCAAACAGAGTAAATAAGTGCCGGTCATCTCGAAAGAATCGTGACCAATCTTGATCAACTTCCACGGTGTCTGCCAAGTCATTGATTATCCTAGAAGCTGAATAATGAAAACAAAGTGTCTTCTACTTTTGGACATTAAACAATTTATACCTTGTGATACCTTGTGATGTTTGGGAAACTTTATTAGTCCTCTAACAGACTATCATTCCCCTCGAGTTCCGTTTTCAGTGTCGTCCGCTCCGGTATTGGTCTATCTAATATATATTGTCCATTTTAAATCTCTTCCATTGCCAGTGTTTATCTAATTTAGATTTGAACTCATTTACATTCTTTGATAAAACTATTTCACTGGGAAGTAGGTTCCATTCGTTTACGACTCTATAAGTGAAGGAATTTTGCCTTATTGCCTTTAGTGGTCTTAACTATCCTAATTTATAAATATGTCCTCGGATTTCATAATTTGTAACAGATAATTTGAATAACATTTCATAGTCAAAATCGTCTATTTTGTGTATAAGTTTAAAAACTTGTATCATATCTCCACGTTGACGTCTGTATTCAAGAGTTGGTAAATTCAAAGCCCTTAATCTTTGTTCATATGTGAGTCCTCTTAGTTCAGGGATGATTCTTGTAGCTCTTCTATGGGTATTTTCCACTAGTTGTTTATTTTTCTTTGTTACAGGGTAATAAATGATATTTCCATAATCAGTGATTGGTCTTATAAGACCTTTATACAATAACAAATAATTGCCTCTTATCCATGTGAACAAAATTTCTTTTCAGCAACCCGATATGTGAGTTTACTTTATTAACAGTACGACCGATGTGCTCATCGAATTTCAAATTAGACGCAAAATTAATACCTAAGTCTTTTTCCTTATCAATGATTTCAATATCAACATCAATACCAGTGTTGTCTTTCATTTTGTATTTTGTATCAAAATTGCTGTTTTCAATCCGCATTATCTTACATTTGCTAGAGTTGAATCTGAGTAACCAGTCGTCACTCCATTTACATAGTGTATTAATGTCATTTTGAAGTAATTGTTGATCAGACATATTTCTCATAATTCGATATAATTTTGTATCATCAGCAAAAAGTCTACAAACACATTTAACCGCTTAAGGAATATCATTCACAAAGATAACAAACAATAATGGGCCTAATACTGATCCTTGTGGTACACCAGAAATAACATTACTCCACTTGGATATATTACCATTAATTACAACACGCTGTTTTCTATCTAAAAGAAAACTTTGAATCCATTGATGCAATTTCCCTGTAATGCCATATGCTGAAAGTTTATGAAGTAAACGTTTATGGGGAACCGTATCAAATGCCTTAGCAAAATAAAAATAAACAGAATCAACTTGTAAATTTTCATCCAAAGCTTCAGTCCAATCATCCAATACTGATAATAGCTGTAAAATGGTGCTTCTATGGTCCCTAAATCCAAATTGACTATCCGACAACATATCATGCCTTTTCAAATTATGAGTATATAGGACAAAATACTTGTTTAAATTAAAATTCAGAACTGAAAAGGCCTTTATTGTGAATCATATTTTCACATTAGTATTGGTTGCAAGCAAAATTTCGTTCAAACATTTACCTCCATATGTAATGAAATCTGTTCTTTGGATCAAAAATATCTTCTTCTTTTGACATGCCACCACTAGTAAGCAACGTCATGGGGATGAATCCAACCTTCTGCATTCTCATATGTCAATAAATGTCCTAACAGTGGAGGCTAATCAGCAAACTTAAGAATCAACTAACAACTCTTTCAACTGCCTTTAAATTATATAACATATCACCACCAAGAAACATTTGGACATACAATAGTACAAAAAGAAATATTTATAGGAGAAAGTTGGCAAACGAAATATCAGAAAATAACTTTATTAAGACAAACATGGAGGTCTTGAGATTATAACATTTTCAATACAATTAATAAAACACAAAATAGACAATAGACATTAATTTAAACACACCTACTATATATTTACATTTAAAGCAAACATATTTTTGACTCGTATGGTCAGAACATCGGAACGGAAGATGTTATGACACATATTTGATAACAGCAATATTAAAAGAAATACAGGACACAATATCTTATTTAGATTGGAGAAATTTGAAACATATCATGTAGTTACATTAGAAATACATTTTGACAAATATTAGACAACAGATTTTAATTACAACACAAGTACCGTATGTTTACATTTTAGCGGGGAAAACCCCGACTACCCGCGTAGCCAGGACATCGCAACGGCAAAATACACATACTGGACAATTTGAAACCAAAATTTTAATAGAATTAAAGAAACATGCAGTGATTTGGAAAGAAGTAATTGTAATTTAAATATACATGTTAGTAACACTGGAATATTTTTTAAACAAATATTAAACAACCGATTCTAATTACAACACAAACATAAAATGTTTACATTTTTAGCAAAAAGTTAATCGACTACCCGCGTGGCCAGAACACTGCAACTGAAATTATTATGACATATTTGACAACTGGAATGGAAGTAATTGTAATTTAAATATACATGTTAGTAAGATGAAATATTTTTTCAACAAATATTGGACAACAGATTTTAATTACAACATAGGTACAATATGTTTACATTTTAGCGAAAAATAACCGACGGCCTACGTGGCCAGGACATCGCAACCCATATTATCATGACACATATTTGACAACTGGAAAACAGCAAAATAGAAATACGGGACACAAATTACATTTTTTGATGGAAGTAATTTTGATTTAAACATATAAATAAGTAACATTAGAAATGCATTTTAACAAATATTAGACCATAGATAATAATTACAACACACGTACAATGCGTTTACATGACATCCCGTATGGTAAGAACTTTGGAACGGAAAATATTAAAGCAGTATTTGACAACCGCAATATTAGAAGAAGTACAGGACACTAATAATATTTTATTTGGATTAGAGAAATTTGATTTAAACATATTTATAAGTAACATTAGTGATACAATTTAACAACTATTAGACAATACAAGTGCCATATGTTTACATTTTAGCGAGAACAAAAACGACGACAACGCGTAACAAGGAAATCGAAAGGGAAAATATTATGACACAGGCTGGACAATTTGAAACCAGAATTGTAATAGAATTAAAGGACACATAAAATAATTTATGGAAGTAATTGTGATTGAAATATACATGTCAGTACTATTGGGAATACTTTTTTAAACAAATATTAGACAATAGATTTTAATTACAACGCAATATGTTGAAACGAAAATCAATATCACATAACCCAAGCCGTTATTATGCGCGTTTTATGGAGTTCATCAAATCCGTGCATTGCCATATTATATACTCCACAAAATACACACAAAACAGGCATATTCTATTCAAATAAGTAACGCAAAATTCCGTGATTTCCGTGCAAACGGCACAATTCCATGATTCCCGGACAAAAGGATTGTCAAATTTATATACATGTAAATGATTAAGAAACTACAGCATCTTTCTTTGTAAAATTATAGCGCTGCGTACACAACCCAATATTTTCTTAAAGGCACATTTATTCCCTATGTCCTTATTTGCTAATCTTTTACTGTGATATACACTTAGTTTCATTATTCGCATTTTCTATATAACATCATTTAAAAGTTATAGTATTATAGCATCACTTACTTTATAATAGTAAAATATATTTGTTTAATAGTATTTTTTATCTGGCGAGGCGGAGGAATTTATTGGGTGAGCCGAAGGCGAACCCAATAAATTCCGGAGCAGAGCCAGATAAACTTTCTCCATCCACGGCACCAATCTATTATTCTATTTATCCTGTCACCGTTTTTTTAAAGAATTTTATTAGGCAAACAACCTTTAATCACACTATCGGAAATGTTTCTATATAAACAAAGAAGGCCCTAATTTTTCTACACCAATGCACTCGCCGTTCTTATTATCTCCCCGTGTATTTTCACATTGAGGGCGCCATTTTGTTTGAAAAATGTGATAAATAAAAACAATTTTTTGTCGAATTTTGTTGTGAAAACTATCTAGAATGAAAGAAAATGGTCTAACTAAGAAAATGAATTCGAATACCAATATCTTTTATTCAGTCGTTAACGCTGTACAGACGTTTAAAGTATTGTTTACGTGACGTCACAATGTAGCGCCAAACAGCACGTGCAAAACAATCAAATCAAGTACGCTATTCTAAAATGTCGCAAACAGTTAAGTTTTACATTTATTTCACTTTAATTAATTTTTATTTCGCTTGAAAAATTATAGAGTGAAATAAAATAAACAAACAAAGTTTTATCAACGTTTCCAAAATTCGTTATTCTACACACAGAAGATTTAACGACAGTTTTTATATTTTTTCTTGAAAAGTAGTCCGGCAAACATGCATACCACGTGATCAAGTGCCGTAGATCAGTAAAAATATACGGCACCTTGTTATCGGGCCGAAATTGAGACAAGTGACAGGATAAATTTCAATCTAACATGCAAAACAAACAAATATCCTCTAAATAATACTGCACGTTTGTAACGTCGCTTTTCATTGGATAATCGTGACGTTTATATTATAATACTGCACGTTTGTAACGTCGCTTTTCATTGGATAATCGTGACGTTTATATAGGTTTATATACACGGCTGCTGTCGATTTATGAAGAAATCTTACTTTTTTTCACTAAAAAATGATGCGTGCTGTATTATAAATTCGTTGTAAAGATTGTTTACAGGTTATATGGCCGTATATAAACGACTATTTGCAATATAACCCTCGCCTAGCGGCTCGGGTTATATTTACAAATAGCCGTTTATATAGGGCCATATAACCTGTCAATGATCTTTATAACTAATATTATAGTTTTATATACACGGCTATTGTCGACTCATGAAGAAATCTTACTTTTTCTCTAAAAAAATATGCTTGCTGTATTATACTCGTGCCTGTGCCGATAAGTATCCGATACAATGGCAACTTTTTGGCCCTCCGAGGACATTCCGATTGTATCCGTTACAGTACGTACTTTAGTCATACCCCACCGGAAGAAGAAAACAACAACAATATTGCGGGTGCATAGAAAAACCGGAAAGCACCGGATAGCACCGAAAAACCGGAAAGCACTCAAATTTCTCATAAAAACATATGAAAACGTTAATTAATCGGTTTGAAAGTGTTACCAATCGATTTATTAGATTAGTCGGTACTCTCAATTATCATAATTGTGTACAAATTGATTAAATCATCACCTTTTTGTGCTACAATATACAAGGTCTTTAATCAGCATGGATTAGCACGTGTGATAAACAATACAACAACTACTGTCCTCCACTGATGACCACATTGCTTTTCGGTACACATAGTAATAAAGACATAACTGAACGAAAATTTATAAGTTTTTCTTTATTTTACATAATATAAAAATATAATAATAAAAAATATGGTTCAATGCTTTGAATAACTTATTGGTACTTTTTACACATCCTCTTTCTGTCCTTCACACAACCTATAAAATATTAGAAATATGATACATTGATATATGGTATGAGCAAGATTGAAAAATCGTGTAACTAATCATAATATCTTTAATCACGGACTTTAATTGTAATTTAAATCCGTGCTTTAATTGAAATAAGTTCAACTTAATAAAATATTTATAAAAACGTCATGATATACAGATCTTCAACTACTAAATAGATTGGTAACACTTTCAAACCAATAAAAATAAAGTTTTCATGTAAACATTGGATAAACAATATTGCTATTCGGTAATGTACATGTATCTTAGCAGGACCGGAAAGCACTCGATATATCAGTTTTCCTAAATACTCGTAATAATTATCATTATATATTTATAAAAACATGTTGTCTGAAAGATTTTGATCTAATAAATCGATTGGTAACACTTTCAAACCAATAAAATAAAGTTTTCATGTATTACTTTGATAAACTATATTGCTATTCGGTAAAGTACATGTATCTTAGCAGGACCGGAAAGCACTCGATATATCTTATTTTCCTAAATAATCGTAAAAATAATCATAATTTAATTACAAAAACGGGTTGTCTGAAAGATTTTGATCTAATAAATCGATTGGTAACACTTTCAAACCAATAAAATAAAGTTTTCATGTATAACTTTGATAAACAATATTGCTATCCGGTAATGTACATGTATCTTAACAGGACCGGAAAGCACTCGATATATATATTTTCCTAAATACTCCTAATAATTATCAATATATACTTATAAATATGACTTTTCTGAAAGATTTTGATCTAATAAATCGATTGATAACACTTTCAAACCGATTAATTAACGTTTTCATATGTTTTTATGAGAAATTTGAGTGCTTTCCGGTATTTCGGTGCTATCCGGTGCTTTCCGGTTTTTCTATGCACCGCAATATTGCATAAGACGTAAAATTGGCAGTGTTATCCGGCAATTTATGTAAGTTTAAAAATATTTACTTTAATTTTGCAGCAGTAACACTTTCCACCGTCAGTTTATTAAGACTATTCATTTATTCTTTCTGTTTAAACCGAAGTCGGGTAAATAAAACGAGAATAACACAATTTTTCAGGTTTTATTATTTTGGTTTTTGGAGAACTGCTAAGCCATAGGAGTCACAAGACATATGAGCCGCGTCATGGCAAAACCAACATAATGGGTTTGCGACCAGCATGGATCCAGACCAGCCTGCGAATCCGCGCAGTCTGATCAGAATCCATACTTTTGGCTTACAGACCCTGTAACAAGTAAAGAAACTGAAAGGGGAAATGGACAAAAGCCCTGCCGGACAAAAGTGTTCCCATCCAAAAGTGACAAAGCAGGCAAAATCCCTCCATGAAAATAACAGGGCTGTCAAAAGCCTGTCTGCGAAAAAGAGTAGGCAGACAAAAGCTCTCCCGTGAAAGTAATAAATAATAAGGCAGAAGAAGCACCCATTTTTGGACGGGAGGGCTTGAGCCCAGGTGGGCTTGAGTCCTACACTCAACAGAAAGTGTCAGCTCAAGCTGTCGAGGTACATGTAGAGAGCTCTGTATAATGGATAGAAACAATATTGATGAATCGTCAATATTTTTCTGTCTATAGAGAAAAGATACACACTTAAAAAAAATGGATACTATTACAGAATTAATTAAATGTCTAGAAATTGAGAAAATTCACCCAAAGCATATACAGATGCTGATGTCTTTTTCTCACAGTCTCACACTCTGCAGTTGTTACATAATAGATTTTTTTTTTATAGATAACAAAAATTACAAGAAATGGTCTAGAAAAATATCATGCAAGGACTTTTATAAACAAGACAGATGATAATTGCATGAACAGAACATAATCGTAAATTACTGATAAGAAAATGAATTCTAATCAAGTATTTATGGGTAACCGTAATTATTGAAATATTGGTGCATGGACGATATTTGTCGTCGAATATTGATATTTATGGTATATATGCAGTGCATTGGATCTAACTCTTAGACAGGGACAAAAATACGTGCATGCAGTTGTCCAAAAGTATAAACCAGTCTAACGGTACTTCCTGTAATCAGGTTTATTTGCTTTATAGTATGAGAACCCTAACATCTAAAGGCCCATTATACAGGGATTACCCAAGAAAATGTTTAAATCTTATTTCCCAAGAGTTTTTTCTATTTGGTGTACTGTTATAAATAGTGTCATAAAAGTTACTCATTCGACGACGAGTCATTGTCAAATTATATAAATATATATTTTCCGATTTGTACAGGTACAGTTATTTACTTTTAGTACACACATTGTATGGAGTACTATTTTGTTTGCATTTTGCTACTTTTATGACAAATGAATTTTACAATCATAGCTATTAAGTTAACAAGCATCTAACATGGTCTCTGTTAGTAACCATTATTCAAACATATATAAAACTCATTAATTCTTTTCTTACCGAAAGAAAAATTTATTATGCATCATGTGCCTTTAAAAAAGTAAAAAGAGATTTAACATTAAGCACTTTTGATACATTTATTTTGTAGTGCAGCAAGATGAATGATGATAAAGATGATGATTTTTTTGGGAAAGGATTTCCATTCTTTGGTGGATTTAGCGACCATTTTAAAGACATGAATAGAGAGATGGAAGAGATGAGTCGACAGTTTGAGGAAATGTTTAGAAATGCTAGAATAGGTAATAAAGTATTTCAGTATACTTTTCAAAATACATGTATTTTTTGTAATAGTATTTACTATTGAAAACCGCCTTGACAAGTATTTGTCACTCCTATTTAGTTGTTTAGGTCATTATTCCTTATGATAATAATGCTTTGACAATAAATGATTTATATTTGGCTGACGGAACTGAAAGAAAACATTATAGAAAATCTGTACACATGTATCTCAAAACCATATTCTTAAAGGGACTCCACTGTGGGTTTTTCAACATGATGGGTTTGGAAATAACTTTTTGAGATTAATGCCCCATTTGATGTATGTGCAGACTAATAACCTGTGTACAAAAAAGATTGTTTGCTAACTCTGTTTTTCCAGGATTATTATTTTTTATAATGAAAAATGACCGAAAATTTAAAAGGGTTCGAACGCTAAGGCTAAGGATAGCATAAAAGTATGATTATCACTTTATTCCTCATTTCATTACTTAATTATCTTTTGCACTTTGTGCCCCAGCTGTTCTATGTATGGAATTTAATTTTTATGTTTTTATGTTTTTGGAGTTCCTTTAATACTGATGTATTAGTGGTTCACATGATCATCATGTCATGTGATACTGGTAACCATGCATTTTTTTATACTTATATACTGTAAGAAATAAAAATTTACCATTTTTATACCCCAACAAACAAATCAAAATTCAGGAGTGATAGCTCTAGTTTTTACATTAAAGATATTATACATTGTAATCATAAATATTATTTGGACTTATCATTTTGTTAAGATGCTTTTTGTATAACATAAAATTTACCATTTTGTTTGTATTACATTGCACAAGCAGAGTTTCATCCACCTAACATGGATGGAAAATCTCCACCCTTGAAGTTTCCCGGGGATTTCCCACCAATGAATTCCCCACCCCTGAAGTTTCCTGGGGGAGGGGGAGGAGGAGCAGGTACCCCTCCCACAAATCCCAGGGATCAGATGTTGAAAAGTGATGACAGTGATGATAAGACAAACATGATGAAAGGCTCACAGGTGGGTTTAATAAAACTTCTGTATTAAATAAACAATCAAATTTACCATAATTTTTATGTTTAGTCAAATATACCATAATTATGTTTATTTAATAAAGAAATATTAACTGTAAATAAGCACTTGTTAATATTTTTGATTTTTCATTTTGTAATAGCAAGGAATTATTATATAATGATTAGATTTCTATTTCACAAATCTGTGTTTTCTTCAAAGTTCCAAGGCTGGTTAAACATCTCTTACTCTCAAGGAGCAAGCTGTTTAACAAGTTTTTTTCCCATGATTTTGGGAACATGACCCATAACCATGGAATTGAGAATTTCAGTGATGTTTGAAAAATGCAGGTCTTAAATTTTGCAGTGATTAAATGAATGCAAAGAATCATTGTCTAAGATAGCATCTTCAAACATTTAATCACCATAACAATAAAGAAGCCCTGATTTTTAAAGATTTTAGAAATTGTTTTTCAATATTTTTATATTGTAATTTTCAATTGGAATATTTGTCTGTGGATATGGAAAGTAATATACTATTTTTAATTGGGAATATTACCCAATTTCAGCTATAAAAAAAACAACAAAAAAATCCCAGATTTATAATGTATTGTTACATTTTATGTTTTCTCTCTCAGCATTAAATTTCTTGCAATTTTTCTAAACATATTATTTATTGATATGTAAATGCATGAGTTATAGAACAGTTTGCATTGTCAAATAAATACCACTCATTACTGAGCATCAATCAAATTGGATTCAATGAATCAGGTATTTTAAATACATGTATAGATTTGTATGCTTCTCTACACTGACATTATATATAAAAAAATTATTTTGTTAAATAATAAATTTTGGGCTTTAATATTGCGACATCAGGGAACTTGTTCTTTGTTCTTATTTTTGCCTGTGATACAAAAGAGACTGAACATCAAAACACTCTGCAATCTGATTTATATTTAAACGGGGGGGGGGGGGCTTTTCCCCTCATACCAATCATTATCAGATAGCCTCTTGTTTTGATGCTCTCTCTATTACTTAATGTCATTATAACTTGAGTCCCCTAACTTTTATGGGCTTTGAATTGTTATTAGTAGTCACATAAATCATTCTTTCATATTCTGAGATACTTTACACTAAATAAGCTTCATGAAGTGATTTGTATCATATATTGGGTGATATCAATTCAACAAATTTGATTGTGTTTACAATAGAATACATTGTATTTATTTTTCAGGATCAGTCGCCAGTCCCCCACAGACCTAGAATATCTATGAGAAGATTAACGCCTGAAGAGAAGGAAAGATTATCCTCTCCATCTTCTACTACAAATAATAAACCCATCGTAAGTTGTCTTAATCCATTTTCTTGTGGAATTTGCTCTACAAAAATAATATTGATATGTTTACAAGATTTTATTGCAAGTACTGAATGTTTATTCCTATGCATCTGAATGCTACAAAAATTAAAATGTTAACAAGAATTATATCATTTTAACACCTTAACTCAGAGACAGAACATTCCTCTTATCTGCTCTTAATTACAAGTAGAATTTAAGAAAATTCTATGCAGGCTGAGTAGAAAAAATGTTGCCTGCACTATGGATTTAGAAGCTACTCATCCTGCAGGACAAGTTGTTCTGAAAATATTTTTGAATGCCTTTGTTGAGCATTGTCCGGTATTTATAAAATGAGCCTCGTCATGACAAAACCAACATAATGGGTTTGTGACCAGTATGGATCCATACCAGCCTGCGCATCTGCGCAGTCTGATCATGATCCATGCTGTTCGCTTACAAACCCTATAGCAAGTAGAGAAACTGATAGCAAACAGCATGGATCCTGATCAGACTGCACGGATGTGCAGGCTGGTCTGGATCCATGCTGGTCGCAAACCCATTATGTTTGTTTTGTGACATGGCTGAAATGGTGTCTGCCCATCAACCTCAGAATGTCATACTTGTATCCAACTTTGGTCACCTGCAATAAGTCATATCAGAGAGGTAGTAATTGTAAATACTTGAAGTCACTATTCGCCTCAGAGAGCTCCTGTTTTAATCATTTGGACAACTTTATCTTCTAGAATGCTAATGGTGATAATGAAAACCTGGTGTCAGCAGTGTTAAGTCAGGTCATGGTTTTACTTTGAACAGTCTGTAAAGTCTGAGCAGCTTTAGTTCTGATGGATATTAATTTGGGCATAAACATTTCATATTTAAAGGGTAAATTTTCAGGATGTCAACCTTTGCTAGGCATAAGATCTCCTTTTTATATTGTCTCAACTGTACATTTAAATTCTCATAGACCACCATACAGTGACGTACATTTGGCTCAAAATTTATTTCTTTGGCTAATCCTTCTGGTAAATTATTACCACTCTCCACTTCAAAATTAAACCTTTTTGGGTTTGATTGGTGAATATGTCCGGAGTCTGTACTCCACAGAGGCAGAAGGAGCCTCATTAAATAAGCATAGAAATCATGATCGTCGATGTATACTGACTGTATTAGTATCGAAAAGCGCAGACCTTGAACAGCCACTGCACTGGTATAGAGCTTGGCCAGTCTTAATATCTGTGCAGTCTATCTAGATAACATGTAAATGTTGGCTGACTTGCCTTAAATTACAGTTTTCATATCAACAACATTGATAATAAACAGTTTAAAAAATTGAATTTGGACAAGGCATCTGTTTTAAGATACAAATGTATACAGATGGTGAAGATTTAATAAAAAATGTATGATGCAGTGATTTTTTAACCTTATATAAAAGAGGCCTATATAAGGCTTCTTCCCAATCCAAATTTTTCTTTAAAATCATGCAGTTTTCCCGCAAAAAATCTGAAAATACACCAGCTTTTTAACTTCCTAAACTCGCAATTTTAGCGATAATTTTACCTAAAAAATCAAGCGGCTTAGGTTTTTTCCAAATTGAGTGAGAAATATCACAGTATGATTATGTTATGTTACAGATATCAGGTGTAATGAGAAGTGTACAGACAGTACAGCTTAGTGATGGCAGCACCAAGAAGATTGAGACAACTGTAGAGAATGGACAGACGTGTAAAACCGTCATGATAACAGACCCTAAAGGTGAAACAACATCCACAACATCATGTGAGAGGCTTAACATAGGTAACTGTTCAGTTTTACCTACATTATCTTAGTTTAAGTCTGCTTAGCTCTATAGGAAGAATATTAGTTTCTATGGGTCCACCCATGGGCGAGGCGAAATTTTTCCTTGACATTTAATCATGACAATGAGTCTAATAGACATTTGAGTCACACCGCTGATTCAGAAATCATGTAGAGAAGTTGTCGGTCCCTTGTTGAGTAATTGGTAATTACTAGTTAGTTATCCCGGAAAGGCGGTAATGGGACTAATGCAGACAAACTGCCAATATATGACTTGAAATGTGCTAAAATTGTCATAAAAACCAAACAAAAACTTACTAAGCACTGAATAAATGTTTTGGTGTACTATTCCATTCCATTCATGCTTTCGATATTTTTCAATAAATTAACAGAGGTTAAGAGGTTAAAAACTCTATAGTTTAAGCCATCTTTACAAAGCCTTTAAGACCACTGCTCTTGAAATATCTGATTTTAATTTTAGTTTTGCAACAAGGTATAAGATGTAATTGTTGAAAATGTCAAAATATCTATGGCCATTTCTCTTCCATCTCTGATAATTCCTTCATTCATTTAAAGAGAAATTGATAGTTACATACAAAGAAAATGTAGTGTTAAAAAGTACAGGATCTCACATCAGTTTTGTAAGTTTAAACATAACTTTAATAAGGGCAATAGTCAAGAAAGCTTAAAACCACACTGCAGACAGCTTCTCGGAACTGACTCGAAATGGTTTGATATGAAGAAACCAGTTAGTGACTTCATTAGTGCTTGAACTCCTGGTACATGGCTAGAGAGGCAGACACTTTAATTTATAATAGCCTACATTGTTGCACTTATGGTTATGATGGAACATCTCTAACTGCTTAAACAACTCAAAAACGTAGCAATTTGAATACTCTTTCATTCAATATTATATTTACTTAATAATGTGAGTTGAAGATAACGTATTTAAGTAAATAAATGGTACATTTTTGGGTAGCCTGTTACAAAATTGCAGTGACATAATTATAAGGTTCAGTTCTATATCATGTATCTGTCTGTCAGTCCGTACTTAAAATGCATATTTGACTACAGGTACCTGTGCAATTTCAACGAAACTATAGTAACAGGAATGCTCTGTACAAACTCTAGTTATGCATATCATTTGCATTTCCAGTTAGAGTTATGGCCCTAAAATGATTTTTATAAGCTATTTTGTTTTGAAAAAAGTCAGGCTATTTTGAAAAGCAGAAATTTTACAGACTGGTTTTTCCGTGAGTTTTACCCATGCTTGAAATTGCATCTGGCATGGGTAAAACTAGTGGAAACGCCAGTCTGTTATGCAAGAATAGTTTGTTCCTAGAGGCGGGCTAGATTGGGGTTAAAATTAAACTACAAGCTTTCTTCACTATCAAGCTTTAAATGAAAAATGTATAAACTAAACTACCGGAAATGGTTATCAAGTCAAGTGCAAGGACTTAACTGTAGTAACTTTTATGAAATAAAGGAGGACTTAAAACAGTATTGCGGTCAACCGTTATTGTATGTAATAAGGTTTAGATAGAGTGAAATCTGTCATTGAGCTGTAGATAAAATGCTTTGAAAATTTTTAAAAATTAGAACAATGGAATTCATGTATAAATGATAGATTTGATAGAAAATTATTAATTTTGCCTTTATTATAACTAAAGGTTAAATAACAACTAATTTTTATGTGAAAAAAATGATCTTAGTTAATATAAGGGGAACTTAATTACTGTAGTAAATATTAAATTATAGCTTACTTACGTCAAGCAAAAATTGATTAAAAATGCTAAAAGAAATTGTAAAGAAACCAATGATCTGAATTCATATTTTAAAGCCAGGCATAACCAACTTGCAGGCAGTAAAAGGTTATAAAGTGTGTTGTGCTACTGTAACAAAATTGTAATAATAACTACTTTGTTTCTTTTAGATGGAATACCACTTGGCAACCTACCCGAGGGATCAGCTGTTTTCACGATACCTTTTCCTGAAATGAACCCAGGTGCACCAAACACAGGTGTGCCCAATCCAGGTGTGTCAAACCGTGGTATGCCAGGTGTAAACACTGACTTAACAAAAGAAGATGCCAGCTTTTTCAGCAAATTATTTGGAGGCTTTTGGAGTAAGCCCAAAAGTTAGAAATAAAAAGAATTTTTACTGAAGGTGAAAAGTTTACGTTGGCTGAACCCTAAAATTGAACATTTTTTAAACCTAAAGTCAATATTAGGTTCTCAAGTAACTTTTGACAAGGAGGGTTTTGGTTTTGTTTTGAACTTGTTTTATAGTCCAGGAATGTTATTCTAGTAAAATTGTCTTTCATTTTCAGTTTTATTGATTATTATATAATTACTAAGATTTTTATATGTGTATGTGAATGTATGAAGAATAAATATAATGGGAATCTTTTTGTGTTCTTAATTTATCAGTAAATGTCTGGGGTGTTCATGGCTGAGTTGTTATGATCAGTGACTTCAAACATCCTGCACCTTACCACTTGAGACACTTAAAGTCTTCCTCCACCTGTAAAGCTGGAATGTCGCCATATGGCATAAAGCCAACCTGAATAAGTCTGTGTGAGGTATTATTTATAAAGACAAACATTTGAATGTCTGACACGAAAGATGTCCTGGTCAACTTGAGAGTCTGAAAATTTCTTTACCTGTTTAAGATTAGATATAAATATATGGCAATAAATACATGCATGTTACTTGATAGAAACACATCATTTTGGCCTAATGATAACATTTTCCTTATCTTTGTAAGGAATATTACAGGTTCATTTTTTGACAACTTAAATTTTAGTATGATGTGTTTTACATTTGGATACTTAGGTGGTTACAGGAACAGTAGCACAACTATAGTTGGTTATGTATCATTCATTCTGTAAGCTTTTATATTCTAATAAGTATGCAAAGCAGCCGAGTCTTGTATGATGTAAGATGCTTGATACCCTGTAAGCCATCTGGTAAGCTATTGAGGTGGAGCGTTGGGCTGTGAATCCGGCATCCCGGGTTCGATTCCCTGACAGTGCAGGTCATTTTTAGTTTGACTAGTCGATAAGAATAAGTAGAGCTATAATAGTCGCCCTAGTGTTGGCGTAACCACTTATATGAAAGTTTTTTGTAATACCTCAAATATTTTCAAATTCCATTGACATATGGCTTGTTCACCATCATGACCCTGACCACTAGACAGGAGGTGGTAACTCATATCAAGCATTTTGATAGAATTATGCCCCCTTTTGAACTTAGAGTTTGTGTACCCCCTCAAATATTTTCAAAGTTCATTGGCATAAAGCTTGGAAACTTTGCACACTTGTTCAGACTCGAGTTTAAATTTTATACACTTCTTTGTGGGCATAATAGGACTCTTTCTTAGGCCTGTAACATGGATTTGTAAAAAAAATAGCCCATTTGCAAACTTAATTTTTTTTTACCATATCTAGGCTCTTTTACTATCGAGCACTGAGAATAGTGGAACACGCTGTCCTTCCGACAGCTCTTGTTGTTGCAGTTGTGCATGAAATCCTTTCTACAGTCATTCACATTGTATCTCTGCTCTGGCATGTACAGAAGTTATCAGGTCCTTGCAAAGTAGAAGGCAACTAGTACTTGTAAATGGCTTGACAGCCTGCACAGGAACGATGCAATGGCTGGATTGAGCTCTGGCTCCCTGTAAACTACCAACACCACCAACACGCATGATATACAACGGAGTGACACATTTCGCGAGTCGTCAATAAAAATACAAGTACTTCAAACATTCACATACATTAGCTTTACACTTTAGGGCAAATTTTAAACTTTACTGTGAAACATTTTATACATTTTCCTCAAATACAAAGACAATGCTGTCTTATTTCCGTATACAAGTAATGAACAATACAACTGTCTGATTCATGTAATGAGGCCTAATATCGTGGAACCAGGCTTACATTTAATCATGCGTTAACACGTTGACGGGAATTGTTATGCATTTGGACAAAAAGCAAAGCTGTAAGAGCTGTTGCATTGGATTGTCATAACACATCTGCATTTCAAGGGAGGAATTATATAATTGAACCGTCTGTCCGTCCATCTGTGCGTCCCCACTTCGTTCGAGTCCGGACTGTAACTTTGTCATACATTGAGGGATTTTGAAATAACTTGGCACAAATTTCTACCACATCAAGACGATGAGTCGCGTCCAAGAACCATGTCGCTACATCAAAGGTCAAGGTCACACTATCAAATAACTAGGCATAAATGCCTACCACATCAAGACGATGTGTTGCGTCCAAGAATAACGTCTCTACCTCAAAGGTCAAGGTCACACTAACGTTTTGAAGTTTCACACTATCACAATTAGAATGAATAGGTACATGTACACACAATCGTGTCCGGGCTGTAACTTTGTCATGCATGGAAGGATTTTAAAATAACTTTGCATAAATATCTACAACATCAAGGCGATGTGTCCCGTTCAATAATCGTGTCCATACCTCAAACGTCAAGGTCACACTACCACTTTATCACAAATAGAGTTTATAGGTACACACATTCGTGTCCGGACTGTAACTTTGTCATGCATCTTAGGATTTTAAAATAACTAGGCATAAATGTCTACCACATCAAGATGACATGTCGTGACAAAGACCCATATCCCTACCTTCAAGGTCAAGGTCACACTTATAGTTTGAAGGTACTCGTTCTCTCGAGAAGATTTTGAAGATACACATTAATGTACGGACTGTAACTCTGTCATGCATGGAAGGATTTTAAAATAACTTGGCACAAATGTCTACCACATCAAGACAATGTGTCGCGGCTAAGGCTTATGTCCGTCTGTCCGTGTGTCCCCACTTACACAACAATCATGTCCAGACTGTAACATTGTCATGCTTTGAGGGATTTTGAAATAATTTGACACAAATGTCTATCTCATAACAACATTTTGTCACGTCCAGGAACCACGTTCCTTCTTCAAAGGTCAAGGTCACACTTTTACTTTGAAGGTTCATGCTATCACAATAAGAGATTACAGGTACAATAATACAAAGAATAATATTAAGCAATTAGTTACTTTCATTCTCTTTTCTTTTCATAATACCTGCATGCTTAAGAAACCTTTTCGGGGGCATTCGTCACTTGGGAGACAGCTCTTGTTCAATCTATCAATTTGTTTACTATTACAAACAAGGAAACAGGTTCGTTTTAAAGAAATTAATATGTATATATCTTTTAAAGTTTTGTCTTATGTGATGATTTGGATACTGCTGTGCCGACATAGTTAGACTTTTATGTAGAAAAGCGAGGTTATACACTTACCTTTTTATTAAGCCCCAACGGGCGGCATATTGAAATCGCAACGTACGTCTGTCCTTGTTCCCACTTACACAACTTTTATATGCGGACTATGACTTTGTCATGAATTGAAGGATTTTAAAATAATTTGACATACATTTCTAAAACATCGTAATGATATGTCACGTCTTTAAAAGACGTGTGTCCCTACCTCAAAAGTCAAGGTCAGACTTAGAGTTTAAAGGTTCTCATTTTCACAATAAAAGTTTTGAAGGTCCACACATTCGTGTCCGGACCGTAGCTTGGTTAAGCAGGGATGAATTTTGAAATAACCTAGCATATATGTCTACCACTTGAGGACGACGTGTCGCGTCCAAAACCTATGTCCCTACCTCTAAGGTCAAGGCGACACTTGTAGTTAGAACAAGAAGAATTTGAAGTACACATCCGTGTCCAGATTGTATCTTTGTCATGGATTTAAAGATTTTAAAATAACTTGGCACAATCATCAATTATCACATCAAGACAACGTGTCGCGTGTAAGGCCCATGTCACTACCTAAAAGGCCAATGTCACACTTAGAAGTTGAATGTACACATTAGTATCCGGACTGTTACTATGTGATGCATTGAAAGATTTTAAATCATTTGGTATACATGTCTACAACATCATGACGATGCGTCGCATTTAAGACCTATGTCCATACCTCAAAAGTCTAGATCAAATTTACAGTTTGAAGGTTAACATTCTCACAATTAGAATTTAAAGGTACACGCATTCGAGTCCGAACTGTAACTTTGTCATGCATGGAAGATTTTTGAAATAACCATGCATGTCAACCACGTGAAGACGACGTGTCGAGTCCAAGACCCATGTCCCTACCTCCAAGGTCAAGGTCACACTTTTAGTTCGAATGAACTCGTTCTCAAAAGAAGAGTTTGAAGATACACATTTGTGTGCGGACTGTAACTTTGTCATGCATTAACATTAAAGGATTTTAAAATAACTTGGCATAAAGTTTTACGTCTTCCACATCAAGGCGGCGTGTCCTAACTAAGGCCCATGCAACTTCATCAAAGGTCAAGGTCACACTTAGAGGTTGAATGTGCACATTCCTGTCAGGACTGTACCTTTGTCATGCTTTAAAGGATTTTAAGATATAATAAATATACTTATTTTTTTCTTTAATAATTTGGAGTAATACCGACGAACGCACCAATTTTAATGACTCCAATGCAGCCGAACAATCTGTAGAATCCGTAGTTTAATTTACTTGATCTATGCAACTTATCCTAAAGTAACTCACGGAGAAATCTCTCTATTGAAAACATTTTACTTTATAAATTGACTTTTCAATTGAATTCAAACCTATGTCATTGAACTGTATAAATCGATATACACATTTTTGAAAAATAAAAAGGCGAAATATGATATTTGAATACGTTTATATATATCTGCGTATATATAATTATATATGTTTACTATGAAACGGGTTTAAATACATAATAGCCAGCTGTTTAGTAATTATGTTATCAAAATTCAAGGTTTATGTCAATTTTTTTTAATACTTAACTGATTATTTTGAAAGGGTTTTAAACAGAGGTAAAGTATAATATGTTTTTTTACTTATTTCGTTTAACTTACTTCAATTTCATATTACATTTTAAGCATATTCTCTTGTGAAATTGCTCTATGTTAATTCATTTTATACTTCAAAGAACATTCAGCGAGTATATTAATATATTCCATTGTTCTTTATATATTCAGTTGTAAACTACATTGTATAAGTTTTAGCGTGTTTTCATTTTCCATCTTTGTGTTAAAGAGAATTCAACATCGCTTTAATTTGTTTACGTTTTCGTTCTAGCACACGCACTATAAGTTATAAAAAATTAAAGCGATACAAATCAATTTCATACGACAAATTTTACAAACGCGCCCTGCGCGCACATACAGCCATAGCGAGCAATGTTTTAAACAGTTTTAAGAAAATTGTCAACTTGACGATAATTTTTCTCATATATATCATTTTCTATGGATAGGTAAGACCTTTAGTTCTAAAAACAATTATTCAATATATAGTCATGCAAGATCAAGACAGCGACATTCGTGAAATGAAACACAGATATAAAGGTTGCTTTTTTAAAATTATTAATGCTTATACATGTATTATGTTTCAGATAAAATGGAAAAGGACGGTTTACCGCCGCCGTTCCCTTTGACCGCCGATGAGGCAGCTTTCCGTCTTCCTCCACCTTCTTACGAAGACGTGAGTAGCCACTTTTTAAGACAATTTGATAAATTTTTATCGTCGTTTCTTTATCAAAACTCCATTAAACTTTATATTAAGAAATTTTATTAAATCGAAAGTATCAAAATTATATTGGTATAAAAATTTGGGAGTGAAACATCTTGGTGTAAACTGTCTTGGGAGTGAAACATGTCTACATTCAAATCTGTGTTAAAGACCACCTCTGAATAAAAATCACCATTTGCATAAAGGCCACTCAGAGACAATCCTTCATTGATAATAAAGAACAAAGTAACCTCCATATACAGACCACTTGCCTCGCCCTTGGATGACCTTTGTTAACAGGTTTTACTGTACCTGTTTTCAAAATTGCCACTTACCGACATCAAGAAAGAGATGTACAGTCGACATAAAGAAAGAGATATACAGTGTAACACTTTGTTTTTTAAGCTTACAGAACTTACTTTATTTTTGAATTTATTTATAACTAAAATGAGAAAACATAAACCAACTAGAACGAGATGATGATTTTACTTTTAAATTTAAATTACAAAAGAACATATTTAACTTTATAAAGTTTAAAGGCACTCCACTGACTTATTTTTACATAACCAGACTGGATATAGTTTTTTCAAGATTATTGATCCATTTGATGAGGGTTAGATCAATAACTTATCTGCAAAATTGCAGATCATAGGCCCAGTTCATTTTCCCAGAATAAATATTCATTGTCAAAGTGAAAATTAACCCTAAATTAAAAAGCGTTGCAACGCTTTTAACTAAAGTCTGAGTAAGAATTATAGGTCAGCAATACGATTTTCAATATTTCTGGGATGTATTTCTTATTTGTCTTTTGCAGACCTTTTTGTTTAAGTGTCCCAGCTGTTTTTGATGTTGTTCTTTCATGTAATTGGAATTGGAGTTTCTGTAATATTTACAGATTATGGGAGTGTATCAGACATCGATTAAGGAAGTGGAAATCAGCCGTGATATTCCTACGTTGGCCTATATAGATTTAATGCCAAAATGTATTAGCAGCGGAAATATAGCGGGGAATGTGGCGCCGAAATTTGGGGACTATAGGTATGCGTATATTTAGGTACAAAGCATCACATACACACGCGCGTGAGCACGTACGCACGCACACACACATGCGCGCGCACACACGTACACACGCGCTCGCGCAATCAAGCAAACAACAAAAATGATAAAGACAAAGTTTGCTGTTTGTATAATATAGAGTTTTATATAGAAATAATCATTTTCATTTCGAAATGACCGCCTCCGTGGTCGAGGGGTAAGAGTCGGTGACTTCTAATCCGGTTACCTCTCTTGCGTGGTTCAATCCCCGGGAGATGCTTTGGTTGTTTAGCACGGAGGAAGGTAGTCTAGTACTGGTGTAACTCTCCAGGAACGATGGTTAGGAAACTACCCGCCTATATGACTGAAATACTGTTGGGGAAAAGTCGTAAATGAAACAAACAAACAAACGAAAGTTTCATTGTAAATTATGTAGCGAATTAAAAAGTACGAATAAAGTGTATGGACCAAAGGCCTTATAAATACAGTGACCAAATGAATTCTTATTAGTAAATGTATAAATGGTCTACTTTTGTACTAAATTAAACACATTTATCAAATCTTAATTACACGTACTTATAACTCTTCTTATATCAGCACAAAGTAAGCACAAAAAAGATAAATCATAAGACCGGAAAATACTTTAGGAACTAAAGTTTTATTTTACATTACAGTACGCTCATAGACGCGGCAAACCGCTTCCTTATAGATAACCCCAACATGGCTATATGGAAATGTGAGTCTGTGACAAAGAAACTAAGCTGGGACAAGAAAGGAACAATAAGTTACGAACTGAACACCATGATACGTCACGAAGCGACCTTTGGCTTCTTAGTGTTCATTAAAGGCTTAAGGTAAGTTTTCAGAGATCATATCTAATTCCAGATGGCTGAGATATATAGATTTAGTTCTCGTTTCATGTTGCATTTTGCATTTTAAGTTACTTAGTTATACATTTTGTATAATTCAAAAGAATGACAACAAAGATTTTAGTATAAGTGCATGTGTTTATTTCATAATGTGAACTGTATAATATGACATTAATTTTTATATATTATATTACAATATACATGCAAACTGGACTGGGTGGTAAATATAAGTCAAACTTGATAAATGAGAGTTCTACATGTAATTCTAAACGCGTGCATGCATTATAAGTTGTCATTATTACAAGCTGTCATCATAAAAAGTTGTCTCAACGCCCAGTGTGCAGAGTTCGAATTTGGTATTTGCCCAGAGCAGATATATACTTATGTATTAAGTAATAAAATGTGAAACATCTGTGCGTTCTCTTTCCGTTATACGACATTCAGACATGAAGTCTGAGATAAATATACACTTCGTTATGATATCAGCTGAGTTATAAAATACTGATAAGTTTCTTTTAACGCAATTACGAGATATTTAACGAAATTTTAAATAGTTTTGAAATCTTATAGCTGAATAAAAATCTTTTTGTTTGAATCTCTTAAGAACATAATTTACTCATCTACACCGCTTCAGATTGACAAATCAGAAGCAAGAATGTCCAAGACTTGTTCCCAGCAATAGTTGCTTATTTCTGTTCATACTTATTTTACCCCCGGTTTTAACTGCTCAAAGTCAATGCTATGACATGTAAAAGTCATTTTTATGATATAAGTACATGTAGTAAGAAGAAAATTGAATATTTTCTGTGATAATCTAACGTATATATGTGTTTCAAGGTTATGGCTGACAAAAGACCCGAACCCAAGAGGTCCTCCTCAACAGATCGGTCTGAAGAACATTGTACCTCGCAAGATGTCTGTAGAAATGCCTACAAGAAGAGGCTATTATGGGTACGGTTCTGGATCTTATTTTAGCTAGGATAGTGAAATGCTTTTATCATCTGTATTAAACAGGGCCATATTTTACAAAATAACCAAGCTTTTTTAATGTGACATTTAATTTTATTGATTCAACTGTACTTTTGCTAAAATACCCGAATGTTCTTTCCGGCTCTTGTTTGCGGACCTTTTGTATACGACGCAAAATAACTCACTCACTCCCTACCGACCGACCGACCGACCGACCAAAAATTAACAAATTCATGTTGGTTTAATCAATTAAGTAATTTCGATGGCTTTGTTTTCTTAAGTGGTGGTAAAGTTACCATCGACGGAGAGCAGTACAAAATGACCAATGGCTTTAACCAGATTGAAGTGCTAGAAAATCTCCGTGACACTATGGCAAATATGAAGGAAACCCTTGAAAACGACCCATTACCAGGTAAAATACTATACATTTTTTGTATTCATTGAAATTTCCGTAGTCCACTGTAATAGGTTTAACGTTACAGGGTCCAACACAGGAACAATATACAGAAAACGATTTTTGATATGAATGAATGAATGAATGCATGAATGAATGCATTAATGAATGAATGAATGAATGAATGAATGAATGAATGAATGAATGAATGAATGAATGAATGAATGAATGAATGAATGAATGAATGAATGAATGATGAATGCATGATTGAATCAATGAATCAATGAATAAGTAAATATATGAATAAATCAATCACCAAATTAATGACATGAAGACTTTGCAATTGTTTTTTTTTTTGCATTTTTTCTTTTTCAGACAATGCATTTTAAATTAGTTTTGATCATATTTTGGTAATGTTTGATTTTTATTGACTCTAGTAATTGAATAAACAGAAATCTTTATTTATGCTTAAAGTTTAAACTCTAGAGTATCATCATATAGAATTATGCCAGGTCTGTCTCTTCTAACATATGAAATGTATATGTTGATCTAGTTTTTAGACATGTGGTTTCATAACTTCATTTACTGGCGGCATGGCCAAGTGGTTAACGCGTCGGCCTAGTAATTTAAGGATCTCTAGCCGTGCATGTTCAAAACCCGTGAGGGACAAGCCGCAAGATAATTAACATTCTGTACTGGTCGGTTCCAGGAACAGAGAGTGTGTCTATAATTTTGATTTACCTACACAGTCGAACTAAAATAAATTCTGTATAAACTAAACACAGGTACAATCTTGACAATCGAAACAGACAGAATAAAAGCATATGACCAGTTCAAGAGTGACCTTGACCCGGAGTCAACATCCTGGTCCGAAAACAAATCACGGTTCCGGAGGTTCACACAAGTTATCCGAATATTTTATATAAAGGGGACCCCGGCCAAGGAAGAAATAGGTATTATAATGAACTATTCTTAATAATTTTATCTTAACTTTACCAGCTATCATAATAAATGAAGTACTGATATTACAGAAATAGTTCCTCGTCTCTTAGCTTATAATACCTGGAGCAGTTCTGAACCTTCCTCTATATTCAGTAAGACCATAACGCCGCCGTAGAAAAGTGGTAATGGCAAATTTCTAACTTATCCCGCACTTATGTGGTTTTGTGTGTGGAACTTATTCATCTAGCTACGGAGGATCGTTGGTTCTACAAAGTTAAGATAATGTAAAGGCCGCTTTCAGTGAAGTCCATTGTGGCGGAGAGTTGCCTTTATAGGTTGAGGCCTCAGAATTTCAGCCACCGTTTAACCCTGCGTGATCGTAAGAGGAGACAAAATCTAAATGTGTTCGTATTACTGGAGTCTATGAATCTCTAAGCTCCAGCAGATGAGGTGGTTTTGAACCCAGGTGTTGTGTAATACCGAGGTTTGCTAATATCGTCTTTACCGTTTCGTCGCCATATGACCGAAACTGTTTTAGTGCAAAAAATAATAAAAATGAATACATAAATAAATAAATGAATATATAAAATATTCTAGAAAATATTTAAAAAAATAAATCAGTGAAGTTTGAAAGCTGTCAGTGTATAAGTTGCATTGTCACATTACTCATAAAATCGGCGAGTTTCTAGTCATACTGGTACTGGTCGCAGCCCTACAGTATGACCTATAGAAGGTGGCATCATATGTCCCTCTGTGCCGAAGATACCGATAATTAATTTTTTGAAACATTTAAAACTAATTCAAGCTGAATTTTGAATTTGATTTTGATTTAGATTTTTGTCTATTGAAAAGTAACAAATATCAGGACACCAGGTGCTATGTAAACTCTGACATCTATGTATATGATAGGTTATGAAGAATTTGTACCAGAGGTATGTGCTGTGGGTGACTCCCTCAAACCTGCCCAGTTCGAACCGTTCGAGAACCTCATGACCCGGCTTGCTTATTGGGTATCAGCTAATAAGGTAAGGCACAATTTTCAGTTCTGAACCAGGATTTGCATCAGTAAAAATTGAGCAAAACGTTATTTAAATTTGCATGCCTCCAGATGAGCCAAAATATTTCAAGAAAATCAAACTCGAGAAAAATGTTTTAAGATTTTAAGAAAAGATTGACATGTTAACTGCAGTTAATGACTGATTTTGCAGTATTTATCACCAAATTTCTGCTGCGTGACTAACGCATTAAGGGCTATTTTTGCATGTTTTGTCCCCTTTTTTGGTAATACACGTGGATTGTCAGTGCCGTTTTCAATCTTTGTTCAATTCACAATATTTTACTATAAAATTTACTTTTTCATGGACATAAGCATGAATCTGCAGGCACGCTGCTTTAAAATACCTGTCGGGTACACTTGCGATTAAGTTAAATTGTTATCAAGGCAAATGGACGTACTCAGGCAGTTTACGGTTTCAGGTTTTTGGACAATTATGATAGCTAGATTTCGTTAGCTATGATATACAACTCAAGCCGACTGAAACTTTATTTAGTTTGTTGTTACACCTTATATAAATGTTACACCTTATATAAACCAATGAATTGAATTAAATCGGAACAGTAACTAAAGCGAACGTTCTGTCATATTTAAGCTGCAGACCAAAGTTGTAATGCAGTATACATGTATTCATTATTTGCATACATGAATTTTGAATGAATGCTTTCTTAAATCTTAAGATACGTAGATAGGTAGGTAACGGACATAAAATTAAATTCACAGTATCACTTTGAGAATATTAAAGTCGGATAGATTGTTATTTTTAACTGCTTTTAATGCTTTCAGGGACAACGTATTGTGAATATTCAACAGTATGACGCCATAGTGAATAAATATTTTCGTGAGTTTTTACATTTATACTCGTATAAAGCTATATACTTGAATAAGATTTATCCTCACATCTTTTAGTAAATAAATTGTGGTTTTTGTTGTTGAGTTTGTCTTGTTTTAAGTGTTTTGGTATGCCTAATGTATGTGTGTATGTGTGTGTGTGCACGCGCGCGTTCGTGCGTCCGTGTGCGTGTGTGCATGTCTGTCTGTCTGTGTGTTAACTCCATACTTTACAAGAATGATGTCGATTTAGGTTTGTTTTGTTGTTTAAGATATCAATCAAGTAGACCTATACCACTTTCATGTGCTATGTTTATAACATAAGTTAACTTAAGTAAGATTACTTCTCTATTTCACAGACGATGTAGAGGTCTGTTCTGACTCTACGGACGATTTCATCTCAACGTTCCAAGAGCAGCGTTTTGCGCGGACACTTCGAGTATTCTACACCAAGTCGTCTGCTGTGCGCGCGCTTCCCGCCAATTTCATAACATGTCGTCTGTTTATACCCGCGCGCACTGGTCCCCGAACTTTTGAATGTATGACACAGACGATGAACAGGATTGATGCCTGGCTCAATGTGACCGGTAACTTCTAGATCACCTTACATAATCAAACAACTGTTTTGGTTTGTCCTAAAGATAGTTTAAGTTTACTTAACCCAATACCCGTTATACACGCCTTTTAACGCCTTTTTCACCCCCACCCAAATGGTGAAAATGCCTTATTTAGGCCCCAACACATGTTTTTGTCTGAGGAGAAATGTTGCTTAAAAATAGACCACTTTTTTTGGCGCCGCCCCCATCCAAAAGATACATCAGGGGTTGCCAGAAGGGGGACGTGCCCCCTTCTGTTTGGAGGTTCATCGCCAAAAAATGTTTGGACTTGAAAGAGGCTAAAAATGACACCAGGTCGATCATAAGGTAACTTGTAACCAACGCTGGAAAGCCTTTAATTGTCTCTATCTCTATCCATTGAGAAGTTAATCAATTTTGATGGAAAAAATCATAGCAAAATAGTGACTTTTGGCAATTTTGAGATGTCCCCTCGTTGCCATGGTAACAGAAAATTTTACACTGAGCATGTCGTTACAAAGGCAGTGGTCCAGTTAACATTTGTGCCAAGTTTGATTAGTATTGAAGCAGTTTTTATAGTTTTATAGCATTTTGAATTTGTAACGGGAGACTTTTCAATGAAAACAGTCATTTTTCACAAAATGCTCATGAAGTAATGGGTTAATAATACTAAACGTCCAGAAGAGATTCAAAATATCCTTCATTGCATTTTAAGACAGCGAATGATTAGTATTACCACGGATTTATATTACATCATCTTCGAGACATCGACCTTAGGGTACTATTTGATATACTGGGAGTCACATCTCTAACCTTAAGGTGCAGCGTCAGTGACACTCAGTCCATCCTTACACCACAGCTAGTTGTGTCCAACTAAGCATTCAATACCTCACGTTCACTATTTTTTTTGGCTTTGTTTTACTGGTAATCATAAGCACATATTGAATATACAATACATAGGATATAAATCAAACTATCATAGAATGAAACTATTTTAGGGTGTATTTGTCTGAACATCTTTCATTCCAGTTTGGAGTTGTAATTGTTTTAAGAGAGGCAACCAATCTCGTGATGTGATGCATTCCATAACCTTATATATGCACGGGGATCAATTGGCCGTGTACTTTCATTGTTTGCTTCTCAGTAAACATAAAACGGATTCGAGCCCTACTAGGGAAAATGCCATCAACGATGGCCTTACCAACTGGTTATTTCCAGGAAGAGGACTCTATCTAGAGTCATTCAGATAAAATTCAAGCTTTCATTACGATTGAGCTAAACTAAATATCTTTGAACTAAAAACTAAGGTATCCACTGGTGAAGCTTATATCAATATTACTTTCTGTCTCGACTTTGCCTGAACTAGTTCATGGTATGTAGCTTATAGCTTTCAGCAGTTAAGCAGGAAAGTCGCAATATGACATCCTATCCCGTAAATGTCGAAAGTATTTGGTGACGTTTGAAGTAACTTGCTAATTGTTTTTTTCAGGTCTGCCTATATTTTCTGTGGAGACTGTAGAGTTATTGTTCAATGATCATACCCCACTGGGAGCAGATTGTGTGAAATCGGACTACAAGGCACAACAATTGTCGGGCAAACACTGGATAACAGCTATCAGGTAGCTTTAATGAGTTGATACTGTAAAACCCGTGTCAGACATCATTTCTGAATCTAGGAATCCTTTTACAAGGAACCTCAATCTACATTTTTTTCTCGTGATCGATTTTATTTTACGATTACAGGTCATGGTCCAGGTTTTAATAATGTAATTTTCGGACAAACAAGGGTATATATTACATTATGTAGTAAATACATACACCATAGGACGAACTGCATGCTTGTTAATTTTTAATATTTTCTTGTTATTTTACAAACAACATTTGAACTCCTAGTAAAACATTCACAACTTATATTAGCAATTGTCATAAACAACTAAGGAAAACACAATCAGGTTTTACAGTTTCTTTCTTTATCATAGTCTCATCTATCGTATATAAACAATTTGCATATAAAACATTGGCGCACAGACAATGAAAATCATATTCTGTTAAGCAATTCTTAGACTGATTAGAGGGATAACTCTTCAGCACATATTACTTTAGTGAAGATTCACTGCAGATTTGTCTCCCTTATTTGTTCATTAGAACAACACCTGATGAAAGTTATTATTTTCATGACAGTTACAATTTTTACTAAAACATTTCAGATATTCTCACACTGTATGAAATCGAATTACCTTTGATGTAAGCCGGTACATGTGTATTACATTACAGGAATAACAAAGTCAGTTTATTTTTTAGATGAAAATCAGAAGTTGTATTGTATACTGACTTTGATATTAATTATATCTAACCGATAAACCCAGGGTCCTATTGTTCTTTTTTTTTAATTTGCTAAGAGATAATTAAATCTTAATAAATATTTATATATATATTTAAGGGTATACTTCACTACGCCGTTCAGTGAGCCTAACCTGGATCTTTTACCCCCACTACCAGTGTACATGACCGGCGGATCAAAGTCGAAATCGTGCAATATTCTTTGATGGTCTTTGTCATAACAGCCTGCAGAAATAGATAGAACTGTTTTTGACGAAGAATATATCCGACAGCAATGTTCAGTTCCCATATATGTGGCAGAAAAAGGTCAAAGAAACTCCACTGAGGTCCAAAAGCCTTAAACATAACTTTTGAATTTCTTACACAGACCAGTTGGGTCACTTAAAATAGAAAGCTATCCTAGTAAAGTTAAGAAATATACTCCGAATAAATTAAAAATCTTATTTTTGTGCTATTCTTATAGACAGGACTGATTTTGAGAATTTGGCTCCCTATAAGATACTAGAGGCATTTTGTAGTACAAGTGGTATCTTGGTGTATTTAACCTATTTAAGGTATGCTGAATCCGATAAAGGTGGATACCAAATTGAAAAACTTGATCTTGACTATTGAAATGGCCATTTAAAATGAACACTAAAATGGACGCCAAATTTCTTTATCATAAATAGATGATAGAGCCTGAAATTTGTCACAAAGCATGTTTAGGTAAAAACTAATTTGACACCAAAACATAATTTAAAAAGAAAAACAATCCAATAGAGCCGTCCTATCTGCTTTCATGTATTTTATCTGGCACTCTATGCAAGCATATAGAAAGGCTACTCAGATGCCTACTTACACAGCCTGCTATGTGTGAGGGGGTTAAAACATGTGCATGCAAAATATACATTAATTAAAGGCACCTTTCTCTTGGGTTTTGGAGTTCTCTTTTTGTCAGTTCTTCTCTTATTAGTCGTGATCTTCGTTCTTCTGTAATTGGTCCTGATCTCAATTTTTTTTGTTGTTAGACGTTCTGTTGTCGGTGCTCATCTCTGTTTTAATGTTATCGGTCATCGTCTTCGTTCTACTGTTATCGGTTCTCGTCTTCGTTCTTCTCCGTTCTTCTGTCATCTGTTCTGTCTCTATTTTTCTGTAATCAGTTTAATTGTTGTCAATTCTTCTGTCAGCAGTCCTCGTCTATGTTATTCTGTTATCAATCCTCTCTCCGTTGTCTTGTTGTCAGGTCTTCTGTTATCGTTCACTGTTCTGTTCTTTTCTTCTGTAATCAGTCCTGGTCTCCGTTTTCATGTCGTCAATTCGTCTTTTATCGATACCCGTCTACATTCTTCTGTCATCAGTTTTCGTCTATGTAATTCGTTTATCAATCCTCGTCTTTTGTTGTCAGTTCTTCTTTTATCGGTCCCTGTCCTGTTCTGTTATCGGTGCTTCTCTATCTTTTCTTCTGTAATCAGTCCTGGTCTCTGTTTTTATGTTGTCAATTCTACTGTCATCGCTTCCCGACTCCATTCGTCTGTCATCAGTTGTCATCTATGTTATTCTATTATCGGTCCCCGTCTCTATTTTTCTGTTATCTGTCCTCGTCTCCGTTGTCTTGTTTTCAGTTCTTCTGTTATCGTTCTCTGTCTCTGTTATCTGTCCTCGTCTCTGTTGGCTTGTTGACAGTTCTTCTGTTATCGGTCCCTGTCTCTATTCCTCTGTTATCGGTCCTCGTCTCCGTTCCCTTGTTGTCAGTTTTTCTGTTATCGGTCCCTGTCTCTGTTCTTCTGTTAGCGATCCTCGTCTCTGTTCGCTTGTTGTCAGTTCTTGTCTCCGTTCTTCCTTCTGTTATCAGTCGTTGTCTTCGGTCTTGTACTTTCGGTACTTGTTTCCTGCTCCGATAAGGTCTTCTCTTGTTTCTTTCGTTGCCGTCATTATGTGTCCATGTCCCAGTTTCACCAGTCTTGTAGTTATTTATTCGTTCAGTAGAGTAGCGGGGATCGAACTCACGACCCCTTGATTTGTAGGCAGACAGTGTTACCACTGCACCATAGCGCCCGCTCTGAATTATAACCATTTTTGAAAATCCTTTATACATTAAATACTATTTCAATGGCTAACAAGGGTGTATTACAATTATATTTTAACACCTCTACTATGTAGCCAACCCACGTGACTTTTATGTATGGTCAAAGAAAATATTGCTCGATTTATAACAAATAATATTTTTATAGATGAATTTGCTGTTACTTTAAGATATCCTGGAAATTTATTGAAGGGTACCTGGAATTCTAATGTATATCGAATGATGTGATAATCTTCTTGTAGAATTATCTCAAAATCGTGACTGAATTCAAAATTTTCGAGAGCTGCCATGGTAAAGCAAGCACACGTAGCAATCTCCCGGTTTCAGACATGTTATGACTCGATGAAAATATGTTGTTGTTGTTGTTTTTAACTTTAACTTTAAATTTCAAATTAAATAGTCACTAATTTTTAAACAAGATACTAAACATTTGTTGTTTTCTGTATTTTTGTTAAGAATGTGATAAGTCTACACTTCTAACTTTAAGATTATCGATTATCCATAATATACCTGTTGCAGTTATAATTGAATCTAAAAAATGAATTATGCAGATATTATTTTCGGCAGAAAACAACAAATGCAAACAAAAAAACATGCAGCATACATGTGTAATGTTCACGATGTGCTGAAAAACGGCACTTTATTAATTTCAATATTTCAGCAAGTGACACATTTTTAATGGGACAAAAATGTTGTTGTAACCATTTAAAAAGTAGGATTTGTAAATTTGTAAGTTAGATATTTTTATCCTAGTTTGCTCAATACTCAATTAAAACATTTTTATATATAAACCTGAGGTAAAGAAAATTGACAGAAAAAAACTTTCATAGATTGAGATGGAGCCAAGATGTCGTAGATATTTGGGTGACAAAAGGAGATTTTGATCCTGATAATGTTTTAAGTAGGATATACATATTACAAGCTTATACTCTTAAAATTTTGTACCGCCTTAATTCAGTTTTTTTAAAAACGTGCAATTATGTAATTATTATGTCTTTAGTTAGTTTCTGGAGAAAAGGCTTAACAAAGGTGGTATCTTTTATTTGTATCATAGTTTGGAGACCTTTCTGTTGAAAATGTGTCAGGGTTAAATCGTATACATATACATACACAGTGCGTTAACTGGAGTGCGGGTATTAGTTACCCGCACTCCAGAGCATGCCCATTGATTGGCTCATTTTTGCTGGGGTTTACATATTGTGACGGCAGAGAAAGGGAAAGCGACAGAAATGTCATATTAAGATGTTCGTTCATTGGTTCATTTTTGCCGGGGTTTCATATTGTGACAACAAGGTACGCGCTTTTATGTTTGACTATGATACAAAAGAGAAAGAACACCAAAACACTCGGCAATCTGATTAATACTCGGGGGCTACGCCCCCTCGTACAAATCAGATAGCCTCTTGTTGCGGTGCTCTTTCTATTACTTAATACAATGTAGATAAATTTAATAATGTGTCACATGTCGCCTTGAAAAAAGATTTTTCGTGATGATTTTGCGCATACTTAATCCCGCTCTTGCATGTTGGAACAACAATATATTATAGTTCATTTGTTTGGATACACGGCCTCATTGCTTATTTTGTATAGTCTTATTTTATTGACCTGTCAATTTTGAAAACATTACATCACTAATTGAAATATAAGATTACTCTTCGATTTCGTTGGTAATGTTTACGAGATAAATATGGAGTATATAGAGGGCATTTGTTTGTTTGTGTGTAAGATGAAATTTTATTTCATCGAGTGGGCTTTAAAAACAGTATTCCCACGTGTGGCGTGGCCACGAGTGAGAATACTGTTTTTAAAGTTCACGAGATGAAATAAAATTACATCTGACACAACAAACAAACACATTTTATTTTTATTTTATGCTCAAAAATAAGTTAAAACGAAATTTCCTTGATAGCAACTTTAATATTTAAATCTGTTTTCCCCACTTGTAGCCTCTATTATGTACATGTATTAGTCGAATTTCTCTTAAAATACAAGAATTCTTGGGCTGAAAAATAAGTTCGACAATCAACGTTAAATGTCGATGATATTATTCATTTTATTAAAAAAAATACGAATGATCGCTTAATTTAATAATAAAAACAACAATTTTAGTAGGAGAAGAAGTTCGACCATCCATCCATATTTCTGTTACTTACTGCGAATATATATTTGATCTGGCTCTGTTAAATGTAAGCGGCCGCCATTTTTAAAAAGTTGTGTATTTCACTGGAGGAAAATAATTGTGTTTGATTCAGAGGGATATCATTTGGATTTGTAAGTCATACACCTTTTTTAAAGAAAGAAAACTTATTTGAGGATTGTAACAGACAATAAATAAGTGTTGACAGATGTTTAAACATTTAAAAAGTGGCTAGGGAATATGAAACTTGGAATTGTTGAAAGTACTTATTCTTTGGGCTGATGGCTGTCATTGCTTTTCAAGTTTTCATAAAGCATACGGCAGTTATTGCTCGTAGGAAACTTAAATATGCCCAAATGTCATCAAGAGCAGTTTTGCATGTGGAAGGAATGTATTTTTCAGACTGTTAAAATGAAACAATCAATTAAGGGACGATATTTGCTGATTGGTAATTTGGATAATAGAAGTAAGTTTTCTTCTTTTTATTACTTTTGACATTTAAGTTATTTATCAATTTCAGCTTTGCTTTTCTCTAAACAGTCTGACATTGTCAGAATTGTCAGCAAAAATAAAATTAAGGTACCACATGTGGAAAATCTTAAGAAAGTAGTTTCGTCATTGAAAAGTGTGAAATTATTTTTTTATAATTTTCACTGTGAAATTATGAAATATAATTTTCACGGATAAATCAGTATTCCACTGAAAAGCATAAAATTAAAAAAAACTATAATACTAATGTTAGTGAAAGTCACATCTGCTAAAAGTGTACACGTCAACGCTACTTTCGCAGTAGCACAGCCGGTTAAGTGATTGACTGATGTGTGAGAGGTCTATGGTTTGATTCCTACCGTTGCCTTTTTTAAGACCTACTGTTGTTTTTTTTGTTGTTGTTGTTGTTTTGGGTGGGGGCGCAGTATATATTTTAAGAAATTTTTGTCTCAGTTTGTGTTGTGTTTATGGCATTGAAATGACATTTTTTGACATTTCAAAATAGTTTTTAAATATTCATTTTAAACCATAAATTACGAAGTAATTACGAAATATTAATTTGTTATTACGAAATATTTATTCTTTGGTAATACTTATAAACTAAGTTTATTGTTAGATATAAGTCAAGTAAACATTTTTTTTTCAATCTTTGTCATATACCTTAACGCGATAGGATAGTAAAACAGTGCTGTATATACCGTTTATTGAGCCATAAGGCTTATAATCGCTATATTTGGTGGCCAATCTCATTAAAATCTGATCATATTGAATAATCATTTGATTTTGACAAGAATAGTTAATTGCATCATATTGTATCATAGTTTTAATGACTTATTTTACTATTTTAAGCGGCGATTTTCAATTGACCTTTTGAAGGTCAATGTCAATTTTATTTTCTTGGTATCCACCCTCATCGTCTTCAGCATACCCATATTAGGTTAAAACACTCAAGATATTACTTGTACTATAAAATGCCTCTAGCATTCATATTTTCTTAAAATCAGTCCTGTCTATTAGTCCGATTTGAGTGAAAAGCGTTGCAAGGTTTTTCAATTTTGGGTCACTTTTTACAACTAAAAAATAATTATTCTGGACAAATAGACGGAGCAAATGATCTGAAATGTTGTATACAAGTTATTAGTCTATACCTACAATAAGTGGAATATGAATCTTAATTTTTTTTTTATTTCTAGTCCAGTTTTTAAAAAAACCTTCAGTGGATTCCCTTTAATGAAATGAAGAAAATCTTGTTGTTTTTTTTACATGTTCAGGCATAAATATATGTTTGTGTTTCTTATAAGTTGTGATATACATGAAGAACTTTGTCATTCTAAAACTGTAAGCAGGTTCCGTTATTGAAGACAATAAGCTTATAGTGGATGCGTTACTTCTAATCTTTTGATAGAAGAAGATAGTATTGGACAAGTGTTATTAAAGAAACTTAAACTATAAATCATAAATATCATACAAAATATTTTTGTCTGTTACTTACTTTAGAAAGGCATTTACATGAATATAGGCATGAACATGCTTGTACATAAGAGTGCTTTCATTATAAACATTTAAACGATATTTGAAATGTTGTAGATTTTTTGTTATAAATGATGAAAATGTTTTGTGTTATTGTGATTTTCTTCTTATGGTTCAAACTGTTTAATAAAACATTTGTTTGTTCGTTTGTGTTTTAATCATTATAAGTATTATTATTATCATTATTATTGTTGTTGTTGTTTTTTGGTTATTATTATTGTTGTTGTTTTTTTGTTGTTATTATAATTGTTATTATCGTTATTATTATTATTATTATTATTGTTGTTGTTGTTGTTGATGTTGTTGTTTTTTTGTTGTTGTTATTATTATTATTATTATTATTATCATTATTATTATTATTATCATCACTATTATTATTATTATTGTTGTTGTTTTTGTTATTGTTGTTGTTATTATTATTGTTGTTATTATCGTTATTATTATTATTATCATTGTTGTTGTTGTTATTATTATTATTAATGTTATTATCATTATTATTATCATTATTATTATTATTATTATTGTATTTCTATTATTGTTATAATTATTATTATTGTTATTGTTGTTGTTGTTGTTGTTTTTATTATTATTATTATTATATTTTATATTCCCCTTATGATCCCCCCCCCTAAGTTACGTTAGCGATGTCTGATGCTAAAAGCCATCGTTGTATACCCCCTCGACTGTTGTAACGACAAAACAATAACAACAAAACAACGGTGAAACATTGGTATAGATTTATCTTATCAGTCCAATAATTTTCATTTCTCTCCAACGCCTTGGACGGAATTTTGAAGAAAGGTACCAAACAATGGTGGTGTTGGTAGTTTTCGCTCCGGATCACGGCAGTAAGCCACATAGATTTTACCAGAGCACAATCGTTCCTGGACAGGTACAGTGTGAATAACCGTTGAAAGAATTTCTCAATCAATCACAATGCACCGTTCAGGAATCGAGCTCGGATCGCCCAATTCACTGTCCAACGCTCTAATTATTGACCGGCTTACACTGTTAACTAACCGGACGGTGCTAGTATCTGCAAACAATATTTATGTATATTAACCAGGTACCCGTGTCCGGGTTAGAAGTCCGATATTCATACATAAACTATCGATAAAAAGTACAATACTTTCAACACGGCAGTATTGCAGTGGTCTATATAACCGGTTAAGCTTATTTCAAAATACACAAATGTAGAAATTAAAAAGAGACACAAGGAATATCAGAACAGGCAGTGATAAATGTGCGATATAAAGTCATTTTAAAACAAAACCTAGTTCTAAAAATGTGACTGATTAATGACAGATCGATTAACTGCAAGGTAAGAATTGTATTTCAATATTTATACATGTAAATAGATCAATACACGGTTATCAGGTTATTAAACATGTTGTACGATATGAACTTAAAGGGTGAATATGCTTTGTTTACGTTTGTTATTGGTGATGTAATGGGGTCATGTTTTTAATAATTCGTCGATTTGTTGAGTTTCATAAAATCACTGTAAAATATTAGTTTAAACGCCTTTTTTCGCGACCATATAACATTGTAGAATAATAGTTAAACCCGTTTTTTACGCGTAAAATAATAGCTTAAATCACATTTCGCAACCATATTATAGCAATGTAAAATGATCGTTTGACTATAAGATTAAAGTTTTTTTCGTAATCGTTCCAAAAATAAATATATATATTTAAGACCTTGGGATTTAAGTTTGTTTGTATATAAAAACTTAAACTTTTTTTTAAATAAGTAAATATTGTCTAAATTACAATTTGTCATTCTTAGTACCCATAGTTTGTCAAAAATGCTCAAAAATCACAAATATTGTTCAACCATATGGCTAATGCTTCCGGCATAACCTTTAGTATTTATATACTAATAGATTACAAAGGTTCTATATTGTATATAATTGTTAGCTATGGTGGCTGATTTGTGCCATGTCAAATTTTCGCTCCGCGGGCGCCTGGCGAAAATACGAAAATGCGGTAAAACACCACTTTGTCGTACTTTCGGTCCGCGGGGCGTGGTGACTTCGCCAAGTGCGCCCCGCGAAGCGAAAGTACGACAAAATGGTGACTGTTGTATTTTCGTGTTTTCGCCCTGCGCCCGCAAAGCGAAAGTACGACATGGCACAAAACAGCCACCATAACTAGCTTTTACATGTTAGTACTTTTTTCTGTGGACATAAACTTATATCATATAAAATATATTTGATACTATTTCAGAGAAATGTGAAGTACTGTGTCGAATCATTGCAAGCTAAAGTGGGTATTCATATCTTAATGCAATATTAAATCAATTAGAAAAGACATCACGATGGAGAAAGGAGATGAAGGACGGTATCCACCAAATGTATTCACGGCCGATGAGGCGGCATTCCGCATTCCACCACCAACTTATGAAGAGGTTTGATTAGTCTATAATTATCATAATTACAATAATTTATAAGTTTCCTGAAGTTTATAATATGTAAAGTGAATATGCAACGTTTTGCTGAACTTTTGTTAGATTTAATGGCTCTACCATCAGAACTTGCTAAGTTATACATGTACGTATAAAAATATAATTGAGCCGTGTCACGACAAAACCAACATTGTGCGTTTGCGACCAGCATGGATCCAGACCAGCCTGCGCATCCGCGCAGTCTGATCAGGATCCATGCTGTTCGCTATCAGTTTCTCTACTTGTAATAGGGTTGGTAAGCGAACAACATGGATCCTGATCAGACTGCGCGGATGCGCAGGCTGGTCTGGATCCATGCTGGTCGCAAACCCATTATGTTGGTTTTGTCATGACACGGCTCAATTATATAATCTGGATAAGTGAATACCCGCGACCAGCAGCGCGGGGCTTCTATCAGGTGCTTGATAATCCAATAGTGTCCTTCCCAACTACTACGACTAACTGATACATAATTTGTTGATATCTTATTGTATTCAATTATTATTTTAGATATCTATTTTTTTCCTCTTATAATTAGATAATTATATGAGAAAAGACATTCAATACCATCGATTTTTCATAATTATAAAATCTTACATTTAATAGCCGAACAGACGAGAATATCTGGCTGGATATATAAATTTAAAAGACAGTAACAGGCCTTGAAGTATACATTTTTCCCCTAATACCTTTATACAAATATACAGCAACAGTTTAAAAATCGGCGCTTTAATCGACATGTTAACTCGACAGAAAATGTGAAGTTTTGATTTTAGTAAGCTATTTAAAAAGAACACACTATATTTTTTTGTATAATTAAGAGCTTACATGTATTACATTCTCTACAGGTGATGGGAGTTTACCAAACATCGGTCAAATCTATTGGTCAGACATCGGACATATCACCGCTCGCATACATAGATATAATGCCAAGATGTCTTAAAGTCGGTAATATCGCTGGGAAAGTAGTTCCAACATTCGACGACTTTAGGTATAAACCGATTAGAAATCAATTAAAAAAAAAATTATGATATTCATCAAGAAAAACACAGAAAACATTAGGAAAACGATAAAAATATCAAGCATTAAGTACTTACCGCTTTAAGTCATTCCAAAATTACTGTTTGCTGGATGACATAACATGAAAGCATGTCTATTAAAGCCTTTAAGTATGATCGTTTGCAGTCATCGTTATTGCGGTTTAGCCCTATGCAGAATGCGCATGTGCGAAATGCCGCATCCGTTTCTGTGGAAAAATTCTATCGTAAAAAGGTCTATTGTCTCCAAAACTGTAAGAAACTAACAGTTCTTATTTCAGATAAATACACGTATATTGAACATGTTTAACATTTCTGATTTGCAACAGAATACTACTTAAGCATACATATTTACAAAAGACTTACTACGGAAAAAATGATATGAGATCGCTAGTTTAAACTTATTAATTTAATTTCAGCGCAATTGTTGAAGGGGCAAACCGCTGGCTCCAGGACAATCCGGGACTCAGTGTTTGGAAATGCGAGACAATCATCAGAAAATTGACACATGGTAAAGACGGTTCACTAAGTTATGAACTGAATGAAATGTTGAGACACGATTCAACATTCGGATTTATTGTGTTTATAAAAGGTATCAGATTATGGTTGACAAAGAAGACATTGGCTGGTCCACCTCAACAACTAGGTATCAAAACTGTAGTCCCGGAGAAAGTCACTATTGAGGTCCCTATGAATAGATATAGGTAAATAAAATTATTTGATTTACATACAAACATAATAAATGATAACACAAGTTGAGGAATACGTACAAAATGTTGGTAACTTACATGATACAAAGACTTTAAGATGCCCATATCGGCTTTTCGTTACGTAATGAATGTAAGTAAACATAAACTGTTTAACATGGGATGTATCTATCTAATATAACCAATACAACATTTACTTACTACGACGACTAATTATCTGAGAATAAGATATTTTGCATTTTTATTTGTTTTGTTCAAATATTATTTTCTTTTCAAGAAATAAGCATGTTCTATAAACTAACATACCATATAACTTCAAGGTATCATCATATCTTTACACTTTTTGGAGTCACGTGTGATATAATTAGACTATCATTGACTGTTAATAAAGTTACATACACTTTCAACTGACTTTTTATTTCACTTTTTATTTAGAGGTGGCCGAGGACGGATTATTATCGGTGGCGAGGTTGTTACTCATTTAAATACTAACATGTACACAGTAACAACATTTGAGGGGCTGGAAGATACCATGAAGAAGTTACAAACGAAACTGAAGGACGATCCAATACCAGGTTTTTATCATATTTGTTTTTCTTTTCGTCTTGAAAATGAACAATGGCAACAAAAACTTTACCATTTTATGTTTGAATGTTGAATTCTGCTTAAGCCGGTGTTAGGGGGCGTAGACGGTAACTTGCATTTTCCATTACCATCCCTGAACATGCTCAATCAAACCGAGCCTGCATCATTTTGAAATTTGTTGTTTTGGGGTTTTGTACAAGTCTTGCTTTTAAATTAGTTAATCTATCTACACGATTTGTGATAACTTACCATATTCTTAAATATTATCGAAGTAATAAAGATTGATTGATGGGAAACAATAAATTCACCAATATAATCATGAAATTGCGTTTACATGTTCATTAATAATGATGATGATGGCGGCAATAAGTATGATGGTGGTGTTGACAAATCCTGTATACGTGAATATGATGATGATGATAACGATGATAATTGCATGGATAATTATCGATTAAGCTGACGACGACAGTAACAAGTATAACGATGATGATGTTGATGCTGATGATGAAGACGTGGGTAATTAGACTGATGACGACAGTAACAAGTATAACGACGATGATGTAGATGTTGTTGATGATGATGATGATGATGATGATGGTGGTGATGATGACGTGGATAATTAGGCTGACGACGACAGTAGCAAGTAGAACGATGAGTATTATGATGTTTTGATGATGATGATGAATATTTCGACAATTTGCATAATTGGATTCTGAACTTACTATTTACTACTGGTACTGTTACCGAGTGTGAATGCGTTTCTAGATATTTTTTTATCATATACAACATTCTAATATTATGCAAACAGGTACTGTGCTTACAATAGAAACCGACAATGTGAAGGCGTATGAAGGTCTGCAAAAGGACTTTGATCCGGAGAGTACGTGTTGGTCTGAGAATAAAGATAAATCACAAAGAAATACACAGGTTATCCGAATATTCTACGTCAAAGGATCACCTACAAACGCAGATATTGGTAAAAACTTACCTTTAGTGATATAGTATATAGTTACCTATGAAAAAAATAAAACATAAGATTTATGCTTTGATTTTAATAAATAATTCTTTTGTAAGGTTAATAATTCATTGTATGTTTGAATAATCAAACTTAAGACATGTAGTAGTAATGTGGTCAAAATCCTCCTTTGATTTTTTCCGTTGCTTATGCGTGCTGTAACTTCTTTAGTAACATCATTTTCCTCGTAGCAGTTATCCCCCACTCTCTCATTTTCTTACAGAAGCATAGCTTCACGATCCCGCTGCGAGGTGTATATAGAAATATAACCTTTATTTATTACATTTATGCGTGGCAATAATAATGATATTTGCTAATACTAAAATAAGACGAAAATCAAAACAAAAACAAAAATGATAGAACAATAACTTTATTTTTATAAGCTTATTGTTTTATCTTATTATTGCTGGAATAATTGTCAGTATTGCATCACTTTTGTAGGCTACACAGAGATCATACCGGACGTGAAAGAACAACCGGAATCGGCACTTAAACAAGGGAAGTTTGAAAACTTTGACAACGTTTTATCTTCATTAAGTCAATGGGTGTCTAAAAACCAAGTAAGTAATGAGTATTGTTTTAAAGTAAGTGTTCAGTTTAACATGACCGTCTGGCACCTCAATAAGTTCATTTTCTCTGTTTCGATTTTAATACAGGCCCGACACTATATCACATGGATACTCATTTCCTTTAACTAGCAGAGGGAGAAGTCGGAACTCGGAAGCATTCGGCTATCTGGGTAGACCACGCAGACGTTCTTTAAGCTGACTGGACTGGTGCCTCAAATGAAACCAATGAATTACAGGGAGTTTTGGAAACACGGTGTACTTGCAAAAAGACATAGCTCCATCGCCAGATCGCCATTCGCGAAACATAAAATGTATAAATATTGACAATGTCGTCTGTATCTGAATGTATCTATCGACTGAATGCTAGTAACATTGATGAATATTTTTCAGGGGCTACGGGTTGTCAACATTCAGCAATACGACGCTTATGTAAAATCCTCAATGTGTAAGTAGATGACAGCGTATACATTTGATGAGAAATACAAAGATGTTGTTATCATTATTAAACCAAAGTCTAAGCATACTGTTTCTGACATAATGCATAATTTCTCCTAAAAGTCTAGAAGTTCAATATGCAACATTTTACACTGACATGTGGCATGTTACTTCTTTGTCACCCAATTGCACAATTATTTTTGTTACGACCTTCTTTAAGAGTACTGAATATCCCACATATGTTGTTTAAGCACACAAACCTGTCGTGAAAATCTATCACAAAGTCGGTTTGTGTCCTTATAATCGGGAATGTCCTATTTATTCACACATTAGTGTTTCATATTATATGCTCATTCAGTATTATGACTTCTACCAAGTCATCAATATATCTATTAATGATTACATCTCTCTCAGTAACAGTCAGTTACGTCACATCTATTCTACGATGACACGGGTCTAGTTCTGTAGACGTATGCACATATTAGGATTTACACAACAGCTTCTAACGGTGTGCCACCTAGTATTGTGACGTCACGTTTGTTTTTACCTGCTCGGACAGGAAGACGGACATTTGAATGTATGACACAGACAATGGAAAGAATTGATGCTTGGCTCCGTGTGACAGGTAAATAACTCGTGTTGTCTGATTAACTTGCAAGTAGTCATTCTTTGCTGAAAGCAGTTTTAAGGCATTTTTGTAAAATTTAATTAAATTGTTGTTACATTGTACCATCGATTCACGTAACTTGGTCATTCAGAATATAAGACAAATGGTCGTACTGATGTTTTTCTTGAAAACGTTCATGTCAATAACAGGATCGCCATTATACGGCTATATATATGATATTGTAATTGTTTTAATGGTTTTAATAGATAGTGTATTGGAATAAATTGATTTTCATTAACTAGGGATTCATAAAATGTAGTGTAATGATTTCCCTTTGACTTCTCCAAACAAATAACTTGTGTGATGTAAAAACTTATCAAGTCTTATTGTACTGTCCGATATAAGAGTTTGTGCCATCAAATAGAAGAAGCGGTATTTTCTTATTCGTATTCTTCAACACGTTTCAATGTTAAAAACATCTTCTATACAAATATGGCCACACACAAGGCAATTGTATTTACTTTCATACATGTATTTTTGAATAATTTGAAAGGTGTGCCAATCTATTCGGTCGAAACAGTGGAGCTTTTATTTAACGAGACGAACCCAGATGGCGCCGACTGTACACGTTCAGAATACACCGTCCAGGCTCTGTCAGGCAAACATTGGTTGACGGCAATCAGGTACTGCTACTACACTGTATATGTATATTCCCTTTGGTAAAACGCAGGTTTATTTCGAACATCCTAACATCTAGCAGATTCTCCTACTAGAAACATGTTTTCTTTGGTAAAATACAAGTTTCTTATGAACCTTTAAGTAAACCTTTTCTAGGTTCTTCTACTAGATACGCGTTTCTTTTCTGAAATGTAGGTCTGTTTGTAATACATAAGTTAACTTCACTGTTGAACACGGCGTTAGCCGATTCTTATATAGGTTTTGCAACTGTGTACACATCCATTAGAATCTACTCAACAGAGTAAAATGACATTCTGATTTGCCTTCACCACTTGTTTTTTGTTGTTGTTGTTGTTGTTGCCATTTTGACAGAACGTTGTTACTTTGGGCACCATTATGTTTTATTTTATTCTAAAAATAAACCGAGCCACACGGGTTATATATACCGTTGTAACTTGATATGAACAAGGCTTGCTTTTATAATGATTTGATATGGATGTGTTGGACTTGGTAATTAAACACGTGGTTGATAAAAATTGTATCCAACATTGATTATTGGAAGATCAAATGTTGCAAAGGGTGAAAGTTTATTAGTTACATTTTATAAGGGAAAAAATTAGTATTTGAACTGTAAAACCTAGCGAGACAGGACTTAAACAATTAAAACGTTGTATTTTGACTATTAAATAAAAAACATAGTGACTATTTTTGTGACAGCGTAGTGGAATTGGTCAAATATTTTATTTTACAGGGTGTACTTCTGTGGACCATATATTGAGCCAGATCCAGCTATGCTACCACCACTTCCGGTCGGTAAACACGGAGGTTCAAGTTCATGTCTTATTTTGTAAAAGAGAACACGTCAGTTATACAAATCTACAAACAAACTACCTGTGATATTATAATATTATGAGTATTTTTGTTATTGCTCCTTTTGATATTTCATGTTATGTTGATATTTGTAATTTTTGTTATTTTTGTTATGATTAATTATTGCTCAATTTGATATGTCATGTTATATTGATATTTGTGTCTATTTTGATTGTTACTTTTGTTACTCACTACATTGAACTACATACACGTCACATTCGGAACGTGTGATTCATTTTTAAATATCAGTGAACATGAAAGAAAAACTGTATGAAAGTTCAAAGACTATTATTACTTCTACTTATGGTAGTAAAAGAAGAAGAAAACGAGAAATAACTTATTTTGCGTTCTGTCATAAAACATAATTATACATTCTGTTGAAAAATTTGTTTCGTATTGCATAACCGATCAGTGGCTTATACAAATTATTTTTTTTTATTGTTGGCCAATAAGAATCACATGATATTAGTCAGATATTTAGAAATTTTTAACTTGAACATGTCATATTTTTTCGTTATATTCGTACCATCAAAGAATATCAGTAGGACAAATGTTTATAACACTAAAATAATGTTTGTCAAGATAGTTAGTAAGGTATGTCAATACGTTTATCCCTCGGTAGGAAAGCTACATACGTGAGGTTAACTGCCAGTATAAAGCTACGTACCCTCTGCCAGGAAGACAAGCTGCATAGACTGTGATCAAATTCATTATAATGATATATGTTTGACATTAGTCAAAAATTAACAATGGCTGAACATAACTTTATTAAGGATTATAACAAAGCCGATAAAAGTACAGTAACGATGTCGGAATGATGTACTTGTAATAAAGCAATAGATCAGGACTGACATTACTCTTGACTTAATCATTATTCCATCATTTTATGTTTGTATAACGTTATTTAGCTTAGAATTTGTCTTTTTCAAAATGAATTAATAATGCGTTGTTCTTTTTCTTTCATGATACCAATAAAAATTTTATTGCTTCTTTTATTCTTCGTTTTCTTGTTTGCTTTTTTGGAAGCATAATTCGTGAAAGTGTCTTGTATTTAAAATAATAAATGGTATTATACTGTTCAACACTAGAAAAATAAGAAGAATTATCTTCAACATTATTTTTCTTTTTCTAACCCATGAAAAAGACTCAAAATTAATTGAAAACTTCAAACAACTTCTGACGGTCGAAGGTCCAAGACTTATACTTCTATTGGTCTAAAACGACAAAAGTCATTATGAGACAAAGAAAAAACACACGGTATAAATAAGCAACGTGACTCAGTTTAATAATTTCTGACGTATAAGACAACGTTCTGCAACATGGACTCCAGAATTACAATATGACTTGGCAAATGCTATTCCATGTTTATGAGACCGCGTTGACTCCTAAATACCAATTGTCTATGCAAGAAGAAACTTTATGGCATGCACTTACGGCACATCATTTTGCCAATTCTGAATAAAAACAAAAAAGTATATTTTTATTGAAAATGAGCAACATTTTTTTTTAGCTATGACATTTGAACCCACATTGACTGTTACAATTTTCTGATGCAATATTGATAAATATCTATTACTGATATAAAGAATTGAATATTGAAGAAGGGAAAAACTTGTAATGTTGCAGGGTCTCTATCTCTTTTGTGTAATATTAAAAAAACACAACATATTGCCTCGTTGATCTCTCTGGCGTTCATTCAACAAAAAGGCGTTTTATACAACATTGCAGACGAAATGTAACTTTAAATAATATATTATTCATATGTACGTCCAATTGTGTATATTTATATATCAAAACAGTGTTCCAAAATACAAAGACTAAACTTCCAATCGATTCTCTGGAAGTACACGTGTTGTTTTGGTTCTGTTTCTTTGTTGTTTTTGTTTTGTTTTATATATATAAAATCGCATTGTTATTCCAAACGCAACCAGTTTAACATCTATAAATGTATTGGAGAGAATGGCGCATCAAAATAGGTCAAACTTGCCTTTTTATGATTTTTCCTCAGGATAAAACGGCAGGTAATAAAGTAATTTCCGGTTAATTAAAGAGTCGTGACTGAAACATTATTGTACTTTTGTGCTGTTTCAGAAATATATAAGATTTTTTTCTCAATATATTTGTGTTGCTTTAGGGATTTGTGCATACTCTTTTTAAATGTTTATTTTACATATATTCACCTTCTTTAGCTGTTCTTTTAAAATCAAAATTTAAATTGTTCAACAGACCAGAATTGGTATTGACATAAATTATGTACTAGCTAGTATGAGTGTTTAGTGAACCAAAATGATTACCATGTATATAGCTCAGATAATGTAAAATCAACATTGAGTGTCAACGATCGAGAAGTTGAGGACGTTGACATCAAACCACTAGCTGCTGTGGGTTCGAATCCGAAAGGACTTTGGACTTTTTCATATGACGAAGCTAACCAGCTAGCTTTTGGAACGTCGGTAGTTCTACTCAGGTACCCGTTCGTTGCTAAAATAACGTATGGAAGGGCACCTGAGGTCTTCCTCCATTATTCTATAAGCTGAATAGTCGCCATATGACCTGTACTGTGATGGTGCGACGTAAAACCCAACAGAAATGTAATAATGTACAATAATTAATGGTAATATACTGTTCAGCACTAGAAAAATAAGAAGAATTATCTTCAACATTATTTTTCTTTTTCTAACACATGAAAAAGACTCAAAATTAATTGAAAACTTCAGACAACTTCCGACGGTCGAAGGTTCAAGACAAAAGTCATTATGAGACAAAGAAAAAACACACATCATGAACTGTATGGTCTAAATAAGCAACGTGACTCAGTTCAATAATCTCGGACGTATTAGGCAACGTTCTGCAACATGGTATCCGGAATTACAATATGACTTTGCAAATGCTATTCCATGTTTATGAGACCGCATTGACTCCTAAATATCAATTGTCTATGCAAGAAGAAACTTTATGGCATGCTCTTACGGCACATTATTTTGCCAATTCTGAATCATAAATTTCATGCAAAGAACAAAAATGTATATTCTTATTGAAAAACATTTTTTCTAGCTATGACATTCAATCTTTGAAATTGACTGTTACAATTTTCTGATGCAATATTGATAAATATAATTATCGATATAAAGAATTGAAAATTGAAAAAGAGAAAAACTTGTAATGTTGCTGGGTCTCTCTCTCTCTTTTGTGTAATATTAAAAAAAACACAACATATTGCCTTGTTGATCACTCGACTGGTATTCATTCAACAAAAAGGCGTATTATTCAACATTGCAGACGAAATGTAACTTAAAATAATATATAATTCATCTGCACGTCTAATTGTGTATATTTATATATCAAAACAGTGTTCCAAAATACAAAGACTAAACTTCCAATCGATTCTCTGGAAGTACACGTGTTGTTTTGGTTTTGTTTCTTTCTTTTTTTTCTTTTTTTTTATGAAATCGCATTGTTATTCCAAACGCAATCAGTTAAACATCTATGAATGTATTGGAGAGAATGGCGCATCAAAATAGGTCAAACCTGCCTTTTTATGATTTTTCGTCACATTTAAACGGCAGGTAATAAAGTAATTTCTGGTTAATTAAAGAGTCGTGACTGAAACATTATTGTATTTTTGTGCTGTTTCAGAAATATATAAGATTTTTTTTCTAAATATATTTGTGTTGCTTTAGGGATTTTTAAATGTTTATTTTACATATGTTCACCTTCTTTAGCTGTTCTTTTAAAATCAAATTTTAAATTGTGCAACAGACCAGAATTGTTATTGACATAAATCGTGTACAAAGCTAGTATGAGTGTTTAGTGAACCAAAATGATTACCATGTATATAGCTCAGATAATGTAAAATCAACATTGAGCGTCAATGGTCGAGATGTTAAGGCCGTTGGCATCAAATCCGAAAGGACTTTTGACTTTTTCATATGACGAAGCTACCCAGCTAGGTTTTGGAACGTCGGTAGTTCTACTCAGGTACCCGTTTATGCCTGAAAAAACGTATGGAAGGGAACCTGAGGTCTTCCTCCATCATTTCAAAAGCTGGATAGTCGCCATTTATGACCTGTACTGTGATGGTGCGACGTAAAACCCAACAGAAATGTAATAATGTACAATAATTAAGAGTATTATACTGTTCAACACTAGAAAAATAAGAAGAATTATCTTCAACATTATTTTTCTTTTTCTAACCCATGAAAAAGACTCAAAATTAATTGAAAACTTCAAACAACTTCCGACGGTCGAAGGTTCAAGACAAAAGTCATTATGAGACAAAGAATAACACACACCATGAACTGTATGGTGTAAATAAGCAACGTGACTCAGTGCAATTATTTTGGACGTAATAGGCAACGTTCTGCAACATGGTATCCGGCATTACAATATGACTTGGCAAATGCAATTCCATGTTTATGAGACCGTGTTGACTCCTAAATATCAATTGTCTATGCAAGAAGAAACTTTATGGCATGCACTTACGGTACATTATTTTTGTCAATTCTGAATCATAAATATCATGCAAAGAAAAAAATGTATATTCCTATTGGAAATGAGAATATGTTCTTCTGGCTATGATATTTGAATTCACTTTGACTGTTTCAATTTTCCGATGCAATATTGATATACGATTAAGTGTGATATACTCACTTTGCATACGTGATAGGTTAAAACTTCTTCAATTGACAGCCCCAGCCCGGTTTATTTTTGATCAACCCTCGTACATGTATATATATTATTGGTAATTGAAAAAGTGAAAGCTTGTAATGTTGCAGGGTCTTTCGAGCTCTCTGGTGGGATATTAAAAGTAGCAACACATATTTCCGACTTCATCTCCCAACTGGCATTCATTCAACAAAAAAGCGTATTATTCAACATTGCAGACGCAAAATTAATTTGAATAATATATTATTCATTTCTTGTATCCAATTTTGTATCTTTCAAAACAGCGTTCTAAAAATATCAAACATCTAATCAATTCCCTGGAAGCGCACGTGTTTTTGTTGTTGTTGTTTTTTTTTAATAAGAAAAATTGCCCTTCCAAACGCGCAACCAGTTTAACATGAGAAAATGACGCATCAAAGCATATCAATCGTGCCTTTTTTCGTTTTTCTTTACATTAAAACGGCAGGTAATAGAGCAATTCCCGGTGAATTACACCGCAATGATTTGTATAAACTTGAATTACTTTAGTATGCACAGCGTTCGGGTAGTTGTGCAGAGTAGTGACTTAACCATTATTGTAATTTTGTGCTGCTTCTGAAATACATAAGAGTTTTATTAATTTTCGATATTTGTGCTGTATTAGGAATTTGTGCATACTCTTTTTAAATGTTACTTACCGTTTTTCTTAAATTAAAATGGAAAATGTGCAACAGACCGGAATTAGTATTGACATAAATCGTGCACTAAGCAAGCAATATTCCATTGTTTTTGGAGGTGGTTGTTATGATAGCAAATACTACTGCGTCACGAAGATTAAACCTCATTAAAACATTTTAAACAACAATGGCACATTAGTCGTATGACAATGTTTGGTACACACAATTTAAACCATGAAACCAGCTAAAGATAAAAATGTATTTATTAAACTTTTGGGGCGCCCGGTTGACGACGGGTTTTTAAGGTCGCTGACTTAAAAAGAATTTTTAAAACCCCAACCGCGGGGCTTCGAACCCCCGACAGTGTCGGGTGAAAAAACCCTATCCGGGAAAGCTTTAGGGGAACGGGGGGTGGTTCTACAAAAGGAAACCCTTTTTTGTGCCTAAAATTTAACCCCAGGGAAAAGGGAAAACCTTTGAGGTTTTCCCAAAAAAACGGGTTTAAGTCGCCATTTTGACCTTTTAACTGTTTTGGTGCAAACGAAAAAAACCCACAGAAATTTAATCAACTAAAAAAATGTGTAAAAATGCAATGAAAATATACAAGTCAATTCGAAATTTTTTTTAAAATTTCCTTTTTGTTTTTTTTGAAAATTGTAATTC